ACTGCTGCGCAGGGATTCAGTGTAATTATTTTATGTCATGCCCGTGGAAAGTACACTGATTCCTCAATGCTCTGAACTTCTAGTCCACTAACCACGAGCTCACTCCGCTAACTCATCACTTCTAATGTCTTTTAATGTCTGCTGAACGAACCTAGAGTGCGTTGCAATCCGCCCTTCCCTGTGTGCATTCATATGCCAACCCACTACCCCAGGTACACCATACATAGTTTTTATGAACCCTATTGTCGAGAGGCCACTGCAAGTACGTCTTTGCAGTAAACGTACGTGTACTCTACTGCTGCGCAGGGATTCAGTGTAATTATTTTATGTCATGCCCGTGGAAAGTACACTGATTCCTCAATGCACTGCAGCACAACAAATGACTCGTGGGCACGTTCCTTCGAGGAGAGACGCAACTTCGCCGTCCCCCTACCCAAAGTTCCTTAAGTCACCGCAAATCCAGACGTACGGGTCAGTACTCTCGAGCTAATGGCCCTTGCTGCGTTACACAGCCGTGAAGGATGTCACGACGCAGTTCAGTGGTACTGATCCATTACTACTGAAGAACTGAGCACCCAACTGTTTAACCCCCAACCCCCCCGCCAGCCCTCCCCGCCCCTTTGGCCCAGGATAAGCAGCCCAACTGCTACACCCCGTAGGCCGATGCGTTAGCATCATTAATATAGTATTTGCAAGCTGCAGAAGACAGAAAGCCATAATGGAATCATGGGTCCACTCCGCGCTCTGCGTAGTTACGCAAGATGGCGACTTTCTTCGGACCGATAATAGTATCCACGTCCAGAACTTTTCCATTGATGAATGCAAGGACTCCATCCTTGTTCGCCATGTAATCCTTCTTGATTATTTCAATGTCTGCCTTTGTCCTATCTGCTAGCTCATTCGTCAGGGAATCATCCTGGCCAAGACGCTGAGCAAGGGCACAGCCGCAGATGCAACACATATACGGAAACAGGCAAAGGCACAATCTTTCGCGGACTCCTTTCCTTTTCGCTCTTTTCGAAGCGGGAAGCCGCCAAGGAATTAGGGAGAGGCAACGGTCTGCGCTTATGGGTGCGAAAACATGTAGCTGCTTTCTAACCTGTTCAACTTCGACTTTGAACCTTTCCTCCTCCTTCAGGCGAAATGCTTTGAGCTCCTCCTCTGCGGATGCGCGAGCATCCTTCAGCATCTTGACACGATCTGCAGAACAGTGACACAACGCGATTGCCGCTTATGGTAACTCCACAAGCTGTTTTGTACCGGATGTGCACTTATCATACGCTGCATGACGAGGTCAACAGCAAGATATTTGCTCCAACCCTCGATCAATGTGGGACTTCCACACCCCCAGAAAGCGCTTATTCACATCAGCAGTAGAACTGACACATTGCTAAAAAAACCCTGAAATGCAGCTTACTTTCTCTTGCCTTGTGTACAATCTGCTCGGCTTCCTCCTCTGCCCTGAGCAGTTGTTGGATCAAAGCGTTTGAAGTCTTCATCTTTTTCAAGTGGTGGCACCGGAGACGAGAGGTGCAGGATCCAACAACAACTCAAACCCGAAGGCTGCCACAGTCCGACCTCCCTGGCGACTAGCAGATTCTGACTCCGGTAAAAGGAAAGCGTGGGTGGTGTAACCGGTGACGAGGACAGCAGATCAGCACTTCAGTGCACACCAGCAGTGAACTCCAGCGTGTCCTCCAAGGAAGAGCCCGAAATCACTACGGTTTCATCGGTTTCCACAAGACGGTTTCCTATTTTAGGCAGTGTACTGCTTGCGCATTCAGGGTGAAACAGAACTCAGAGACCGGACGGGATTTAGCGTCCTCCGGCCCTCCCGTAGCCGCAATCCTATGGCAAGTTGCCCGAATGATGGAAGCTGGATTCTTCAAAAGTCACTACTTCCAAGAATTTTGCACAATTGGCATTTTTGGTGATTTGGCGCCAGCCTTTTCAGAGCCTGTTGCCACCGCTGCGTTCCGTCTAGAATGACGTTGTTCCAGCTACCCAAGCCTCGCCTCTTGGCAGAAATATCACCTTAATTGACCTATGAAACACAATACTTTCCGCTCACAACACGAAACCATCGCACGAGCGTTTCGTCGAAAATCCGTAGGGACATCGGCGCACAGGACTTGCCGGACCCAAACGTTGCCGTTCCTGCAAGCGCATGCATGCATTTGTGGGATCCAAAAGGACAATGAAGCGCTACTTCGTCAATAGCCTATGATATAGTACATAGAATTGTTTGCCAATGCTTTAAATGCAATACTTTTGGGGCCTTTTAGATAGCCTTCGAATTGGCTTCTCGCGATTCCTCTGCAGTGCATGAGAATTCCTTTAACACTTGCGCCTAATATTCTGGGCCCAACAAGGCGTTTCGAGAATAATTACGCACCCTAAAACAGACCTGATGGTGCTTTTTTGGGGGAGAAGAATCGTTGCTGCAGGGACATGCCCACGGGAACGTACTGAGTGGAGTAACTCCCGGCAACCGCTTCCCAGATTGATGCTATCTTGCTGGGGCCAGGCACTGTGCAGCTGTTAGAGAGAGCAAGCAATGACCTTAGAGGAGGGGCTAGGTTCCTTCAGCAACAGCGTCACCGCTAAGGCGTCAGGAGAGCTGGGCAACTTCCTGCGAGGCCGGAGCGACGACAGCGTTGGACACCTCCTGGAGCCCCAAAGCTGTCCAACTGTCCCTAAAAGTGCGAGTGGTAGAGGGTCAACTGGTGCTGCAGACTTCGACAAAAAAACAGCCTTCATATCTCGCTTATCAGAGCAGCTCGCTGCGTTGGCTACGCTCGTTCGACCAACTCGACCAAACGGCGAAAGGGAGCCACAGGAATCGTCTTCTGCTGGAAGCGCTTCACTACCTACTCAGCAGCTCGAGCCTCCGCTAAAATACTTGACTTTAGCAGCTGGGTTGTTAACCTGCATTTGGGGATGGCGCGCCGCGCGGTCGATAGAACGCATAGTTTCTCGGCGCTACTCTGACATTGCATACCAAATTCGTCGGCCCGACGCTTTGAGCGCTCGCATAAGCGCCTTCAAGTTCCTTGTCTTGGGTGGGCTCGTGCTGCCTGGATCAGCTGTTGCCTTCGCGAGTCTGCATGTGGAGGCTCCGCAACTGGCTGGCCAGGTAGGCGATCCTCAGGAAGCCGACGAGACGCCCAAAGTACCCTTGAATATCACTGTGCCTAGGCGCGTCCTCCTCGCTGAAATTCTACCTATCAACTTGCAAGTTGATATGCGCCGGTTGGTGAGCTTCGCTAGCAGTGTAGCTTAATGGCCCCTCTTCCCATGATATATTTTGCTGTAGGCATGAGGGGGGATCTCTCTGCATTCATCTGAGTGATGCTTCTGCCCCTGCGTATTTAAATACTCAGGTTGCGGCCTTTCATGGAGGCCTATCAGAGTTCGTTGAGGCTGTCGCCCCATCCAGGCAGAAGTGGATGCAATGGGCAGCGGGTGCGCGGAAGTCTCACGTCGCTGGCCTCCAGCGACCCTCTGCCCTGCCTTCCCGCGTAGCCACGTGGGACTCAGGTGATGTAAATAAATGAGTGGAACAATTCAACTTGCACAGCCCTTCCAGGGTAATTGGGTACCTGCCACTTACACAGTCACCGCACACCATCCAGTGCACACCAGTTCTGCGTGCTCGTCCTCGGTGCAACGGGTGGGTTCCAACACGCAACTTCAAAGCTGTCGAACCTATTCTCCTACACACTCCACCCACATGAGGACTAGATTTTCCCCAAAAATGCACGGATAAGCAGACAACTATGCAGGGGCCTTCTGTGAGCAGTATGGTGGCACACTCGCGTGGTTTTGGGCTGCCACTGGCGTGAGCAGCATACGAGCCCCAACTACAAACGACAAGCCCTATTCGAAGTTCGTATAGCTGAGTTTACTAAGCCAGAGCGCATGCACCAATCGGCGGGGAGCAAGCTGCTCTCCCCTCTTTCCAACGTTCAGCCGTTGCCGCGTGTAGAGAGGGAAATAAGACAAAAGTGGAGGGCATACAACCCTTTCGCCCACTAATTCCCTTGATATTAAGTTTCGATTCCTGTTCAAGTGCGCTGTTGTCCACGGAACTCGGCACAAGCAGGACACTGCTTTCAGGGCTTCTAGCCTACGGACGTAGGTACTCCACCCTGTCTCCCACATTTCCGAAAAAGGTAGAAGTGGTACCTTGGGCATTTCTTCTGCGCCTAGTATCCTCTACTTCACCATCAGGGGTGGGTATCTGCACGGGCCATTCGCAGTGTTCGTCCTCACTGCATGCGATGGAGGCCCCAACGCCAGGAATTTCCTCTTCTAACGGTCTCTGCAGCCGTACCCGTCAATTTGCAGATCGTGTTAGAATTTTGTGATTTATACTCATCGGGGATGACGGGTATGACTGGCCTTGAAGGATCTAGCTGACCGGCGACCAGGGCACCACGACTGCTGAGCACTTGGGATTACCTGTGCTGTATTAACAAGGTGAAGATGAGCTGCTCTTCATAGTATACGTGTTGTACTTTTAGCTGTAAGGCAGCTGGGAATTGGGTTGCCTCTTTTGCGCGGTCTTTAGTCAGCGGTCCGGCATTCCCTGTCTACCAACAAAGGACGCAGGCACCGTCGCAGGCTACTTGTCAGATGGCGCTCGACGTTCTGTGCATGAAGGCTGAGTTTTGTGGATGCAACACAATTCTTTGCCCGCACCTACTTTCCACAGGGAGAGTTTTTCAATCAATCGTCGTAACCCTGGTCGACACTGTGAAGCCTGCCGCTGATAGTTAGTAATAGATGACTAGATTGAACTGCACTGATTGGCTTTCTTCATCTTCTTGAGGCTTTGGGGATGTCTAGGACTAAAACAGAGCCAACATCTCCTCCGATGGTTGTTGATGCCTACGGGGCTTCTGAGGGCACGGCCGTTTCTGCAGCCTCAGGTACTTCCAGACAGCGTGCACTCTCCATCAAAAAAGCTTGCTTGGGATCCATTAGCTGCGGTCAGCCACGGCAGGCAAAGATCGAGGCAGCAAAGCACGAAGCAGCAAAACACCGGCAGGGGAAGCAGGCAGGGGTGTCAGGAGCTGCTGCAGGCAGCGGACCGCTGCAGCCATTAAGTCGCCGACGCTCGCGAGGCAGTTCAGTGACGTTTGCTGTTGACGACTCGGCGCCATGCATGGCAGCATCAACGGCATCTCGAGCCTCTTCCCCTACAAATGACAGCAGCCGCTGCAAAAAAGTTTCTACAGGACCGAAGAGCTCTCAGCTGCCCGCTGGGACCTCCATGAGCAAAGAAGAATGGCCGGCATTGCCGACGGTGACGGCACCACACTCCTCTTCGGGCACACCCACAACTTCGCTGCGCGTGAGCCACCGGAACTGGCAAAGCAATTGCATGCTTTTGTACAGGCACATAATGTCGCATATCTTGGAATGGCCGACGCTGTCTGTCCAGTGGCTGCACTCTTGCAATCCGTACGTCTTTCATGCAGCCTTGATTCGACTGCAGCACCTTTTGCCTTCCGTTTCCCTTGGCGCAACGCAGGGCCGTCTCAGTTGCCATCATGCCGCGCATGTGGGGCCGCCGAGAGCAGTCCTGCTGCCCTAAACGAACTGTAAGCGCATAACTGATGTGCACATTTCTCAGGCGCTCAAATGGCGAAATTGGACAGACACTGCTGCTCTCGACGCACACAAGTGGCGGCGCGGCGAACTATTTGCTGCTTATGGAGGTGAATAGGCGTTGCTTGACGCTAGTGGACTGCCAGCACAGTTCTTAGGTGATCCTCACTGCCGCGATGCGGTTCCTGCATCCTATTTACTGCTGATCCATTCTGTGTTGCAGGTCAGCTTGCCGTCCGAACCTATTGATGCTTCTGGCCTACACTACGAACAACGGCAAGGCAAGGCTACAGTATTACCTTCTGCGTGCATCATTCAACAGACGTAGAGGCAGCGTGCGCAGCGGGCCGTACCAGGACAGGGCGTGGCTGCATCGAAGTGAATTGCTGCTGTGTAACAGATTACCAAGGTTTTGAATTTGGCGATGAGGACACCCGAAAGTTCACCATCACTGCCCGAATTCCTCATGAAGGCGAGAGCAACAGGTATTATGTTGGGGGGTCGCGTTGTAGGGAGCTTTCAGTATTCACTAACTGCGACATGCGTTGGGAGGCTGTTGCATGCTTCATTGAATGGTTCTTCATCAGCTAGTCAGTTCGCTTGCTATTGGCCATTGGTGTTTTACAGGGCTCGTGTTTATCATGGCAACGACACACTTATTGCGAGCAAGGCTAACGATGGCTGCGGTAGGCGTCAAGTGTTGCTGGTTGCTCAGTGGATTCGCATCTTGCGCTTCGCCGTTACAGTCTCTAATTGCGATGCTTGCTGCCTGCAGCAGAATGTCTCTTGCAAATGTGAAAGGTACGGCAGTATTCCTTGTTTCCTTGTTGCGCGCAGTTTATCTGTTCGATTCGTGCAAATTTGGCCCTGCTCTTTGCTTATCCGACGCGGAGTCTGAGGATAGCCAAATTACTTTACAGAGGAGCCAGATGGCCACGGACGCGGAGCTCATTCTGACAGGCCATACGACTCAAGGGTGAGACGGGCCTTGCACCACGGTGGACTGGTGAGAGTTTAGCTGAGACTGAGCTTTGGGTAACAAGCTTTAGGGTTACACAAGGTTTAGGGTGCGTGTGGCGTTGCTTGCAGGTGGGGCCTAGAGTGGAGTCCCACACGAGAAGGATGGCTGGCCTCTTCAGGGGACGATGGCCTTGTCTGTATTTGGGACACGCGGGCATCTAGTGAGTTTCACTTCTTGCTGTTCGGGTTGCCCGTACAGAATATGAAGACCTGCTCCCTTTGGGGAGGGTAGTGCATGCACTGCAGCTAATCTGGCACTCTCGCTTATATTTTGGGCTGTGCATCGAGCTGAGGTGGGCGCGTTTCGTAGGAGTTGCGTGCCGGTGGAATCGGTTATTATCAATTTGTGTTGCGAGTGAAAATAGGTGTCAAGGATAAATGCTTGAGTCCGGTACACCGGTTAGTGGCGTCAAGTAATCGCAGAGCACTGCAGGTATGCAGCGGACTTACGATCTGGGAAGCGCTGTCTCTTCATTTCCCACTCCTAAGCACCTTTTGCCTTGAGTAAAAATGTAAAAGCCAAGTGCATTCTTGGACCAGAGGCGCATTGATGAGCACTTTCGTGTGCAGGACGTGGCGTGGAAATGCGGGGATGATGCGGGAGAGGTAATTGTGGCTGTTGGCGACGACGGGGAGTTGAACATGTAAGTTCGCTTTTGCCGGTCCTTCGTAAACTTCTCACTCTTCTAGATACCGTATTTTAGCATTATGGTGCACCTGGAGCTTTCGTGCAATTGCAGTTCGGATTCAACGTTTTGCTGTGCATGCTTTCAAGGTGGGACTTACGGGCAGGCACGGTGCCGGTTCACCGGGTAAGTTTTGTGAAGCAGTTCAACAATGCAGCTCTGTAGGAATCAAAAAATGCTTTTCCTAAGCAGTCTAAAGAAGAACAAAATTGCGGCTCTAGCAAGCGCCTTATGCGGATTTTTATCGTGTTTCCCTTCCTGACCTTGTTTTGCAGCAACCCTGTAACCATTCGTGCGCCAACGTCTTGGCTCTGAACCCCTTGGCTCCGAATGTGTTCGCCACTGGAGGCGCAGACGCTGTCCGTATGAATGGCTTTTAGGGAGAAGCTTGAGACATAGGCTTACGCTCCCTTCTTTACTTGTGTCAACTTCGCTTGTCCCCCCATTGCTGTCGAACGTAGTAGGCTGTATGCTATGTGAGAAAGAGCTGATGCTGGGGCGTTGTCTCTCCGGCTCCTTGCAGGGAGTGAGCGTATGGGACTTCCGAGACTTGCGCCGACCAGCCCACCGATTGCTCTACCTAGAGAACGAAGCTCTAACAAGTCTTAAGTGGCATCCACAAAATAAGGCAGTGCTTGCTGCAGGTACAGTAAGACTTCTGCTTCGCTCTCATACGGGTTGCGGTGCGCCTCCTGATGCAGCAAACAGTGCGGCATGCAGTTGTGAGGTAGTTCCCTGTCGAGTTCTCATGTCCTCGTTGCAGGTACGACTGACCGCTTCGTTCGGATTTTTGACTGTTCACTGATTGGCGCTGAGCAGTCCCCAGAGGAAGCAGAGGAGGGCGCGCCAGAAGTAATATTTGTCCACGGGGGCCATGTCGCTGGCATCACGGAAATTGACTGGAACCCGCTGGGGGACAGATTTCCATGGGTGGGAGAAAAACCGAGCCCGTTTCCTCCACTACCCTCTCATGCACTTGGGTGCGTATCAAATTTCGGTAGGTGCGTCATTTTCTTTGGTTCTACAGGTTATTGCATCTGCTTCTGAGGACAACGTTCTGCAGATCTGGCAGCCGGTAAGCCAAAGAGGGAAATGCAAAGCGAGTTAAGCAAGATTGCATTGCTTAGCTCTTTTTGCAATGGGACTTCTCAACATCCATCGCAAACTCTCAAAGAACTAATCTGGAATGCTTGCATCAATTGAAACCCTGAAGTAGTGGAGACCATCGGTAAGTGGGCGGTCTTCCTTCCTGTATTTGGCTTTCGCTGCAGTCTGTAAAGGCTTTTGAGGCGGAGGAGGCAGACTTTATGTGCGATGAAGGGAGTATGGATGAAGAACTGCTTGACTAGGCTTTTTTCATGGGCCTCTTCCCCAGTTGCCTTTGAAACGCTGCGCGGCTTCGAGAAAAGGTCAATAGCGAAGAAACACATAACAGTAGTACTCGGTCTACCCAGACAAACGCTGCAGGGAGAAACATGCCAGGGGTGCATGAGGTAGCGTGCATCTGTCTGCTGTGCGACCGCCGTTACTATGGACCATTGTTTACGTGGCATAAATGTCGCTTGAAGGTCAAAGAGCTTTGAAGCTGGGATCTGCTGAGGTAGAAGCAACTGCACTTCATCTAAAAACTCAGTTGGAGGGCCGGACCGGGCGCAGCCGTAGCAGGCAAATGTCTCCCGCAGCGAACCACTTGCAAAGCCTCTCGTCCCAAGCCTTGTCTTCAGCAGCACAAATACTTGAAAATACAGATTATAAATAAATAAATATATATATATATATATATGACTTCTCAGAGCCTACGGGCTCTGCAGTGCGGTGTTCTCACAAAGTTGACCTAATACTGGGCAGCATGGACGCGTTGGCACGGCGCACCAAAAGTGAGGAACCCACCCTACAGGGTCCTTCACTTCGCATCGGGACGTCTTCGCAAGAACGAATCAACCCAGACGGCCTCCTGCGGGAACCGAGCAAATGGCAGCAACGTCAGGCAGGAAAGGTGCAAAGAAAAAGCAGCAGTTGTTGCCTTTGCTAGCGTGTATATGCTAAATCTGGCCTGCCTGTACAGCTTTTTTGCCGGTCTCCCCTAACTGCCACGGGCTTTGTCTATGACGTCACTGAGGACATGCGTTGAAGTACAAACAGACGCTGGCTGACAGTACCCGTGTGTGCATTTGAGCGACTTACTACCAGTGGGTCTCCCTTTGGTGTGGGCTCTACAGGTTGCCACGCGGCTTCGGCGTCCAAATCAAGATCGGCGTGAATCGCTGAAGGAAGAGCTCGCCTCCAGCGGCTCCTCAGCGACGCCTCCTCTGGCTCCCGAGTTCGCTTGTTGCTGCCTGGCTCTACGAGAGCGTTGTTCCTGTGGCGGCCGTCTGGGGAGTTCAGCGACGCAGCAGGGACTGCTCCTCGCGCCGAGCTGGCTGGCGCCTCTCCCGTAGCTCTCAGATTCCCTGGATGAATGGGAGAACGGGTCGTCCTGACATCTATGGGTGCACTATTTTGTCCCCTCCGTAGGGCATCATCGTCATCTGTAGGTGGCTGCTGGAATGGAGGCGCCGCGCTGCGGTCTTTCGTCTGCAGGACTGGTGAAGCGGCATGCGACGAGCCTCGAGCACGCAGTGAATGAGGAGAATGCATCGACGCATGCGGCGTCTGCAGCTCCCGCAAAACTCCAAGCAGACCCAAGTCGGCTGGGGCGTCAGCTGCCTCGCCGGCAGTATAGACCAGTTGAGATGCCTCCCAACTAGGTCTTCGCAAACCCGCTGTGTGGGTCTGCGGGAACTGCTGTTGGATTAGCTGTGTTAAGCTAGCCTGAATGCCGAATGGGAAAAGCATGTACTTGGCCAGAAATGAAGACAGCTTGTTATTGCTAGTCAGTACTTGCACATAGAGGGCAGCAAATCTCCCTCACGTATGTGAAGGAGCACTAAGGACTATAGGCTGTAGGCTCACGAGTTTGTTGCACTTGTCGGCGATGAAGCTGAGGCTTTCTTTGTAGGTGGATATCTTTGCGTCAGAAGACGCAGGCCGCAGCTGTTGCTGTGCACGCTCAACAATACCAAAGGTTGGGTCTTCGCGAACTTTCTCAAGGGCTTTTACTCTCTCAATTGCCAGAAGCAGCTGCTGCTGTTTCTTCATCAGCTCTACTGACAGCTGTAATCGCACCAAGCGCCACGAACGCATCACCTGACATGCACCTGACCCTCCGCGTGCATAAATCTGATCGTCCTACCGTCCCATTGCTGCTGGTTGCTAGCTTCGCTGGTACGTAGCCACAAGCCACTGATTAGCTAGCTGTAAATCACTGCTTAGCATGCTTTACAGCTGCGCATCCCGCCAGGGTCAGGTGCGCTATATATATATATATATATATATATATTTCGCGTGCCTCTTGGTGTATGTGGACTTACACTCCTGGCTTCTGCGACGACGGACTCTTCCTCCTGGTGCGCCTGACGTGCATCTTCCCATAGTCGAGCAACTTGAGCTCTTAGAGCCTCAACTGCAGTCTTCGCTTCAGCTTTTTTGTCCATGCAATAGCCACATAGTCACAGCACAGCAGTGTAGAGTCGCCCAGCTACCCTGTACACCTGCAGCTGAAGGCGTACGAAATGCATCCACGTGCCTGCCAGTTAAGCAGCTCACCATTAGTGCTGGCAGATCCTGAAGCGATTCGATTCAAGCTAGCGCTCGTCGCCTCCGCACTGCCGCATGTACATTTGTAGTCTCGAGAGAGAACTTGCCACCGATCAAGCCACATCTGACAACACGCCAAGCCAAATCCATAAAGCTACGAATTTGTAGAGACAGGAGCTATCCCTGTCACACGCAAGAACACTCCCCATCTGCCCTTGTGAAAATGAGCTATTCAGCATAGCCTTCCCTCTATCCCAGGCAAAGGGTAACAACAAAAGCAGCTTGAGCATAGGTGGCCAGGGGTGAGAGTGCAACAAACCTCAAATACAGCCAGGCGGCGTTCGTGTACGCTTAAGAATGCCACTGCTTGCAATGCCGGATGCTTGAGAAGCTGCTGCGTCAAATCCTCCGAAGCCTCCGAGAGCCCGCTGCCATCTTGTCCTGGAATGACTGCGCTGCTCGCAGCCGAGGCCTTGACCATCTCAATGAGATGGGTAATTTCTTCTTTAATTGCAGTCTTTGCCCCTGCTCGCAGCTTCTCTAGCAAGGCAGAAGTCATCTCTGAGGGGCCTCCCAGAGTCCGGGAAAGGCATGAGACACAGCACGCATCTACGGAGGAGCAAAATGCCTCGCCTGCCCTTAGGGCTGCCCAGTCGCAGCTGAAAGATCCGTCAGCCTGCCAGAAAGACGACTTTTGCTCGTTTGATTGGGGCAACAAAGGGGGCCAACGGACATTCTTGGACAAAGAAAGCAACCCAACAGTCGAATGCGATGCATCGGCGGCGTCTAAACACTTCTCGTGCAGGTCACTCTGATCACCCAGCGCGTGAAATATCGCAAGGGGCCGTTGGACTTCCCCTAGAGACGTAGAGAGGCTTAATGAACACTGATCAGGCTGGCGTAACGAAGCCATATCCACATGATTGTCGAAAACGCGACTGCATGCAACAGCGGAGTCTGGAGCTGCGGGTATCGTTGCCATTGTAGAACACCCCTCCCCTAACTTGGTACACTTAGGAAATCAAGGCGGCTATCAGGTCAAGACAGTGCTGTGCCAAAATCCAAAACTCAAACGCCTGCGCAAATAAGCCCATGGCGGACTTCTCGCCAGTACATTTTGGCGTCTTGCTGGCTTTGAAGAAACGGCCCTTTTACAATGAGCTCTAAGCAGATTAGTTGAGCGCATAAAGTGACAGCTCTTGGCAATCACTTCCTCCTGTTCCCTCCACTCCAAAATAAGGTGGCACAAAAGCGATAGCCTCGGACACAGGGGCCGTGAGAAGCCTGCGCACAGGCCCGAAGCACCTATTTATAGTAGAATGCTAATAAAAGGAAAGGTTCAAGATCAAATTTTGGTCAACCGCGAAGTCGCGAATGGAACCTCTGACAGCAACTGGGTGATGGGGCCCCCTTCGCTCTTTCCCCCCCCCCCACCCCTTACCGTAGAGGGGACGGAAGCTGGGGTCTTTCTATGGTAGGTTCGTTTATCCGTGTTTAGCAGGCCCTTGTAGAACATATATTTTCAGGAGACTAATTTTAAGAGGGGAGAAATAAGCGTAGGCGGTCTGCAGCACATAGGCCCCATTCCATACTACCACCCACCCGAAGCATCAACCTTCAGTGGCTCTAGGTCAGGTGTTGCTAGCTGTGGCTTGGAGGGGCCCAGGGCCCTGTAGCAAATGGCGCATTCTCTTTCCTTCTTAATATGGGTACATCCCGCATAAAGACACATACAAACATATTTGTATCAAGAAAAATATTTGGATACAGGGAAGGATTTGGCGCCGAAGCAGAGCTCCCCAAGGTGAGCAGTAAACTTGGTTCTGCCAGTCCTCGAGGCCCTGGCCCATTGGTTCACTTAAAATTCATCTCCAGTTTGAATGTACCATAACATTGTACATTAAATCCTGTGAGTTTCAGGCCCTATGTGCTTTTTCTCTTTGGAGAAACTGCACGGGGTTCCTCCTGGGTTGTCGTTGCTGGCGGAAGGAATCGCATGATTCTCTTTTACCGAATCAAGAGGGGAAAAGGGACATTTTTGTTTGTGGCAACTCTAGTGGAGCTGTTCCTTCGTAACTTGGGCATGCTGACGTGTTTACTGAACTCATTGGAGAAACTGCTGCGATAGTGCCAAGCGGGTTGTCCGTAGAGAATCGCAAGCTGTCTATCATCTCATTCATACGAATGCGATTACTTAGCCCATTTCCACCTCATCCATCATTATACGCGAGATCAGTGGCTTGGTCGCTTGTATATCTCTATGGGAGTCCCAAGGCATCATTGGAAACCCTCACAGAAAATCGTGCAAGTGGTGCTTCATTACGTCGGCGCGCGAACACTGTGTTTCGCCCTGTTACGTCTTTGCCCGCAGAACCTGTCGTTGGCACACTGAAGTGGAGAAGTGCATATTTCATCACGTACATCAAGGCCGCAGCCACTGAAAGAGCTCCCCTATCATCCAGGTTGTCAACGACGCATAGTAATACCCACAAGCCAAGATGGGGGAGGCTCCAGAAAGGATCCATATAAAGAACTGCTACGGTAAGTATCATGTGGGCTATTGGCATTTGGGACATCGTCGCAGCTTCAATGAGCCCCAACATACGTTCCCTTTAAACAACCTCCTCGATTTTCTCAGCTGCACTGTCCAATGGTCTTCTTCTTTGTTCCTTCTTGCGTCTCAGCTGAGCCATGGAAGGTCCCTTACTCGGACATTCGCTTGGCGAGCAAGCAGACGGAATCGGTTGGAATGGCCTGCAGTTACCGATATGTTGCGGTGAGTATTGACAGGCCATTGCCGTGGGTATTGCCTCTAATTTTTTCTTCTCCTTGTAGCTTAGAACACTTCATCCAAGTTGAATGAAACGAAGAGGCGGCAGAGTCAAGTGTAGTTTCGGAGCACCGGGTACACTGAGTTCGTTTGTTAAGAACTCAGCAGTCGTAAGTTGAGGATGGATGCATTAGCCCTGCTAGTTATACTGGCTGCCTCAATTACCACCAGCAGCCATCCGTGTGCTGTGCACACCGTATTTGTCATAGGCCCCATGGGATGTTGGTGGGGGTGGCATGATGGGCCTCATTAACCTGGCGGACTGTGGCCGGAATCCGCCGGTGACCAAGATAAAGGGACACACTGGGTCTATACAAGACCTAGCATTCAGCCCCTTCTATGAGTCGATTCTTGCCTCTGGATCAGAGGGTCCGTAGGCCACTCTGTAGTGTTGTGAAGCCCGCCTCCCCTCTCTGCTGAATGCTTTCATTACTATAGGGGATCCTTCCAAGAGCCCTACCGGAGACGCTGGGTTGCTGCACCTCAGCTGTGCGCTGACCAATGACGGGTGGAGATTTGAGGTGTTTGCGCACAGTTCTTTAGGGGGCAAGTAACTGTTGTGAGGGACATCTAGTAGGCCACTGTGCTCAGGCTTGGTTGTTGTGCAGACATGACGATCCGCATTTGGGACGTCCCCAGCGATCCGCCTCCTGGGCACGAGCTGAAAGACCCTGTGGCCATCTTGACGGGCTCTGCCAAGAAAGTCATCGCTACAGAATGGAATCCTGTGGCGGATTTTATCCTTGCATCGGGTTGCTTCGACGGAACCGTTGCACTATGGTATGTGGCGGCTGAAAGGAAGAGCTGTTTTCGAGCCGCATATATTTCCAGTACGGGAAAATGAAATAGTGTTGACAAGGATTAACTAGTGCTGTTTGTTGAAAGCGTCGATGAGCATTCACTGAAAAACGCCTTCCCCGTCCCGCTGTTTTGCGGGAAAGAAATGACCAGGGAGTTTTGATTACAACGGCAGATGACAGCGGGATTTGTTCCTCAGCTTTCAACGGCAAAAAAAGAGCACTTAAAAATCGCAGTGGCAAATTTGATGTTAGCCTCGCGCTTGTAGTTCGTTGAATGCCTCAGGGACGTCGACTCGGCCTCCTTAGTCAATGCTTTGTCAATGAACGACTCAGTCCTTTCTGTTAAATGGAGCAACTGCGGGTCAGAGTTTTAACAGCTGTTCCCACTTACCTTTTCTGGCATTCTCTATTTGACTGCTCTTCGTTTAGCTTTTCCGCAAGTTGGGCCACAAGACTTCAAATAGATTTTCGCGCATTATGTGATGTGCGTAAAACAGAGACAAACTGGCTAGCACCAGCAAAGACAAAGCCCTGAGCATAATTGACCCCCGAGCAAAGAACGTTGTGGCCTCTGTTACTTGCCACGAGGGCCCCAAAGCAACCAAGTGCTGTTGGGTCGATGGATTCGCGGGCGCAGCTGGTCACGTGCTCACTACTGGCTCTAGCAAGACTAACGTTAGAGAATTGCACCTGTGGGACATCAAGAACATAACCAAGCCGTAAGAGGAGCAGGTGTACTAATGGTGAAGCAGAGATGCACATAATGTGCCTGGACGCACATTTTCTTCGAGTGCATGCCTACCAGCCGTGGGTATTAACGTTTTTCTTGCGCTTTCAGAACAGATGAGCGCTTCTAGGACTGTGTACACAATGAGGGGACGAGTTAAGAATATTGTCCTGTTTTTGCTCTCATCAGGCTTATTCGCGTGGAAATTGACCGTGGGTCGCAGCCATTATATCCGATCTTCGACGAAACCCTCGGGATGCTTTATGTGGCAGGCAAGGTAGGGGAAGCAGTTGCTACATGCTGAATGGTACTGGTACTTGGCTTCAATATGCTTTCTCTGTTTGTACGACTCCTGTTCCCATCTGGGGCTGGAGCCTTTCTCAGTTTATTTCATTATGCTGTCAAGCGCAATATTAACGGTGACACCTATTTCAGCTCCATGAAAAAAGAATCACTCCTGAATTTTTTTTTCCTCACGCATTTTCAGGGGGACGGAAACCTACGGTACTTCCAGTTCTTTGCAGGAGAACTTCGTCGTGTTGACGAGTACCGATCGAACGTTCCCATCAAGTCCTTCTGTTTCATTCCGAAGCTGTAAGCAAGTGTTGGTTCTCTCGGCAGTGATGCCCCAGCTGCTTATTCGTTTTTCCACAGCTTTTCCGACTGTGACAATAGCAACACGAACTGAATCCATGGGCTTCTGCCGTAGACGAACACATTCTAGTGCACACACCAGGAAGACTGGGGGGATGTTGCGTTCATCTGACAATCTTAGTGATATCCATCACTCACTCTGTGCGAACTGGTGGATTGTTGAAGTGCCGTTGACCAGAAGCGAGCAGAGATAGGGCGGATGCTCAAGAACGAGAATGGAAAGGTTCTTCTTCCCGTTTCGTTTATTGTCCCCCGAAAGAACATGGACGTGTTTCAGGCTGACCTCTATCCGCCTACTCCTGGTGTCGATGCAGCCCTGGTAAGCATAAAGGTATTGCGAGAGAGGAGAAACATGGCACCGCGCCTCATAATTTCACCGCTTGTGTGCCGGGTAGGGAATCCTGATAAAGTTTAGCTCGCTTTCGGATACTCTTCGCCTAGTGCCTAAAGACAGGTGCTGGTCGTTATGCATCTGCAGACTGCAGCTCAGTGGCTCTCGGGGGAAAATGGAGAGGTCAAACGTATAGCGCATCAGCCCGGTAAGTCTTCCTGGCGAGTTACATGCCCTGTTTGATTTTACTTCAGTCACCTTCACTGTTTCATGTGTTTACGCTGTAAGTATGAAGACTCATGCGCAATCAACAAACCCAGCGTGACGCGTGGCTTTTCAGGAAACACTCCACAGTTCAAGGGGGCTGCCAGGAGCAACTCGCCTCAAACGGGAGGGGTGCACAGGCTTGAATCTGTCAGAAGCGTCTCTGGGCAAGCGCCGTCTGTGTTGCAAAAAACTGTAGAGAAGGCACAAGATGAAACAAAAAGAGTGAGACGCGTTGCACCATTTGGGGTGGAGCAAACCTTTCAGTGCATGCATGCTGAAATGGAACTTCTGGCTTTCCCATGTTGCTTAGAGTATATGGAGACGGATTGGTGCTAGCTAGCATCCACAGTGCTTGTAATTCAAGGAGTAGAGCTTCGAAAATATGTGGGTGTAAACACCAGTTGCTGATGAATCTGTGTGGCTCTGGCGCAGCTCGACGCTGTGAACAAGTCTCAGGAAACGCAGATTCAGCGGTTGGAAGCTCGCATCAGGGAACTTGAGCCTGTACGCAAGCACACTTTTGCTCATTTCCAAAGCACCCGTCGTGTTTTTTCACGTAACGTTGCCAACAGAGGATTTTGTGGGAGGCATTCTAACGAGCATGTTCAAGACTTCATTGAGGGCACTGAGCCAGTTATGTTTGTGTTTCTCAGTTAGAGGCGAAGGTGAAGCAGCAGGAGGCCAGAATCAAAGATCTTGAGGTGAATTTTGTCACTATTTTTGCATAGTATCCCATATGTATCGCAGTACGCGCTCTTCTTTCCTCGTTGAATCGAAACTGCATTCATGCTGGCTGGTCTTTGGACTTGCTAGGCATTCCCCCCCTGGGCGGCTTGTGACCAGCGTGCCCTGATGGGGCGAAGAGGTGAACCAGCACCAGCTTAATGCTGCTGCAAGGAGGGGAAGAACTTGGAGAGAAGCAAGATATCGACTCAGGCTATTTATTGCTTGTTGTGCGACTCAGAGCCAAGTACAAAATTCAGTTCAGCAGAGTTCTAGCGACAATGTAAGGGCAACCCTGATGGCTGTTTCTGGCTAGGCAGCGTCTAAGTTTGGAGATATTGTTAGTTCGTTTTCGACCCAGTTTAATAGCATGGGAATTGCGCGCTTTTGGAGGACGTCTACTTAAGCACCGAGCGCATGCGCTGCTCACTGTGTGTCTTCTGCAGTCTGGGGAGTTGGAGGCAAAGATTCAACAACTTGAAGCCGACAATGTATCTCTCCGAGCCCAGCTAGAAGATAGCGCCACGAAGGTGGTTCAGGCTTTGAAAGAAAGCAAGGCCAAAGATGAGGAACTCCAGAAGCTCCGTAGTCAACTGGAGGCATCGGAGAAACAACTGGCGGAGCTGAGCAGCAACATGGCAAGGGCCGAGGGCACACTGCATCGAGCTGCTACTTTGTCGGGACTGGATGAAGGTGTTCGCCAGGAGTTTAACGAAGTATGCATCTGCCCTTTTCGAGCGAGCTGAACTTGATAAGGCCCCTTCAGCAAGTGTTCTGTTTTGCATTACCTGAAATGCTGATCTGTTGCGGTTGTTTGATGGAATGAGTTGCTGCAGATGAGGGACTTCTTTCGGGAGATTCTAGATGGGACATTAGTTGAACTCAACACGGAATAGCGTGCAGCGGCAACCGTGAGCACCAGTTTTATTCTCAGTTCTTGGTGCGCAGGAGGGCATCGAAAGCATGCAGTGACACGGTGGCCATGCATCCTTCCGCGTAGTCCACTTTCCTTCCTGTGACAGTGAAGAAGCGCTTGTCAATCCACGACGGCCGGTAAATATTATGGGCCTCGTCTTTTGCGAGAAAGTGGTTCTTTTTATTAGGATGCGCTTCAAGCGGCTGTTGAGTCAGGCGCGAGGATAACACGGCAAAATCAGGTGTTCGTGTTCGGAGGCAATTGAAATACGCTTTGCTTTCCGTGTGCACATTTTGTAGATACTGGAACTGACCTATGCTTCTGAAGTCAGCATGACGTGTGGTACGAAATATCTGGAGAAGCGTACAATGTTTAATGCATGGTATGACCTGGGGCCAGACAGTCTCGGGATGTCCCAGGAGAGGGACACCCAACAGGGAAGGAGTTCTTCAACGGGCGCATGAACCTGTAGCATCTCGTTGTTTAGCAGATTAAATATGGTTTATATTTACTTTGCAGGACCTAAGACAACATCTCACGACACGAGCTGATGACAGCCATGCTGCACCTTTAAAAAGAACAGTAGACCAATTAATAGAAAACCCTTTTTCAGAACGTATTAGCTAAAAATGCGCTTTATTAATACATTACTTATGAAGACCAAATATAAAAGCATGCTTAATATTGTTCTGTTTTTAACGTTAAAAACGTTAATCGTACTTCTACATACATAGTTTCAGTCAAATTGCCTTCAGGAGAACTTGGATTATAAAATGTTTTTTGTATTTTTGGAGAGCTTGATGCATCTATATTTATAAGAAAAATAAAGCAGAAGTTAGTAGATTTTAGGAGAGCGACGCTTTAACTGTTTAAAGCGCAAATGCGCCTATCAGGTATTAACCGTAAGTTATTAAGAATGCTTCTAGATATTAGGGAAGCCGTTACACCATTCATGCAGGATGGGATTTACCCGACAGGGGATTTTGCTACCTTTGGGCCATCAGATTACAGTGCTCTGTCAAGCTAGAGTTCACTGCAGAAGATTCCCCACTGCAGCCTACCGGAGGACTGTGGTCTGTTTTTCAATCCCCATGGGGCTGGCTCCCTCTCAACATCCGGGTTCGGGTTCTTGATTATAACCAATTGTTATTTTAATAACAAATAACTCGCATTAACTCTGGCTACAATTAAGTACACCTCACCAAATGCTTATAAAAAATAAGACTCGTCATCTCCTCCTTCACCATGCATTAGTTACTGTGCTTGGAATAGAAATGTTTCAAAGAACAGAAGCAGGAGAGAAAGCAGGAATAGTACTAAGAGGTATTTTTAAAAAGTGGTGAAAGACGTGCGATGGTACTAGTCAACCGTGAAGTATCTGAGCTATTTGCCCCCCCCCTTGTTATGTACAGCAGGTAAGGAAGTTAACTCCATGCTAGAGTATATACCTTACGAGTACGAAGGTGTTGGTTCGATTCAAACACCACCCATACTTAAGCGTTGCAATTTATACATATAAAGGCGGTTCAAAGCTTATACTGGCTCCCAACAAAATAAGTGCTTTTATATGTAATATATTGTCCAGCCACATCTTCTAGTGCTGCCACCTTGTAACGAGTTCACAGTTGGAAACGCCTCTCTCCAGGCCTGCTGCTGACTGCCGTTCAGAGGAAGAATCGCGCGCATCCTTCCTCTGAACGGCAAGCACTTCCATGGCTGCACACGGGCAAGCTGCGTCCAAAGGTCCTGCATGAACCGAAGGTTGAGGGTTAGAAGGTCCATTAGCTGTAGTGTCTGAAGCTCCGAGGAATTGTTGCCCCAGAGGTATATAGGGCTCCAGGTAGCAGTCGCTGTACAGGCGAATTGAGTCTACGGATGCTCATGATATACCGTTCTAAGCCGCCATACGTAACAGTTGCTAGTTGTTTCGATAACAAAGGGCCAGCTGCAACCCAACGACTCCATAGCACTACAGTAGATACCCTACTGCGGCCATCAGGAATTTGAGTGTCTTCAGGGTGTGTGTTGAGTTTTAGGTCGGACTCCCAGTGTCCTAGGGATGTAGTCCCGAAAATGATGCACCTTCTGCGTAAGCTTTCTTAATATACGGGCGTGGCACAGATGAAGGTGAGTGAAAGCCAAGGATGCATATCCTCTCGGGAGACGTGGAAGACTACTTGGTGTGAAGTTTTCTGTATGATTCACCGAAATGCAAGTAGCGACGGAAATGACGGATGAGACAACTCAGTCGTTAGTATGTTGCTAATCTGAGAAATGAATATGGAAAAAGTATTGAAGTCTAAGACATAATCTATAGAGGACTCCAGAAGAGCAGGCGCCATCAAGTGGTGGTCCTAAAAGCAAGGGCTTCCCACTATGGAAATTAAAATAAACCCGCTGTTTCTATACTCGAAGGCTGCGTTCATACTAGTAGATACTTCCTTGTGTTTTCATTTTCTCTTTTGCTGTTGAGTGCTATCGAACGCCGGTACTGGAGGATCAGGCCTAAGTCTCTCTGGGGAGCCCCCGTGCTCCTGATCGACATGCTGTTCACCTCCGCAACACTACATGGCATTTCACTCTTCCTTCCTTGGTATGATTTAGCCTTTTCCCGCCAATAAGAATGATAAGGACTGACCACTGCAAGTGATTGGGTCCACATGCAGTTCCAAGCCGAGGACTGCCAGCCGTCGAATCTCACAACGCTATTCGAACATTCGTGCAGATCTCAGCCAAGGCGCCTCTTCATAGAACCGTTTAACCATGGTGAAGCTGTGCAGTTGATTGCTAGGGAACTAGGCAAGCATATGATCGCCACTTCTCCCCAGTTTCACTTCATGGGTGGAAGTCGAAATGAGATGAGCCTTCAGGCAGATTGAGATCAAATTCTCCCCAAGCTTCAAGACTGGCCTGTTTCTGACGTGCGGAGATTGCAACTAGGCGTAATGAGATTGAAGGTTTGTGAGACATCTGGGTAGCTGCGTAAGCTGTCCGGGGCGTGAACGGGGAGTTGACCTTTCCTTGTTGAGCCAAGAAATGGCTTTCAGCAGAGGTTTCCGACTTTGCGCCTGGCGCGCAAGGCTGTTCTGCCTTGCCGCGCATTTCATTGTGGCCCTCGTGTGGGCTGCAGAAGATCAAGAGGACTCGTCGGAGTCGGATCATTCGAACTATGACGATGGGGTGCGCACATATTGTGTTTATCATGTTAAGCTGCTTTGACGGTAATAAGCAAGTAGGATGAGTGATATGCAGCTGTTGATAGCGTCCGGCTTATTTGGGGGAAGCTGAGCATGAAACGAGTTTCTAGGTTGACGTTTGCTTGGGTGGCGAAGCGAGTTTGAGTGAAGTCCAACAAAAATGCTTGCGGTATCGCAGGTACAGCACATCACTCCACTCTCGGGTTCGAACAACATGTTGGACGCTCAAAGCAGGTTTGGGGAGGCACCCGTCACCGACCTCGGTGAGGCCCGGCTAAGCCTTCAGTTTTTGAAGGAATGCCTGTGTGCACCATTTGCTCGCACCTTAGGACGGAGTTTTGACTGTGAGGGAAGTTAATTTGGAAGGCATTTGTTGCTTGATTCGGGGCAAATGGTAGTAACTTTAGGGAGGGGCTAGAGTGAGTGCAGTGGATACGCATCGGCTATTGACTTAAGCAGCTAACCGTGGAAACCAGCATGGGATGCACTCGAGGACGTATGGGAACCTCTTCTACTTGGATTACTCGAGCTGGTGCTGCATGCAGGTGCTGTGCTGCATATTGTGATGTTAACAGCCGATTTAGTCGAGCGACTTGAGCAGGCGGAGGATGAGATGTGGTCGAATGTTGAGAGGGACCACGACCTCATGAACGCGCTGGTGCAGATTCCGATGAATTCGTTAGAGCTAGGAAAGCAGCAAACCGATGCAATAGAGAGAGTCATAAACGGACTCAAGCGAAAAATCGCCATGTTCAAGTGGCAGTATCGCGAACTGCTGGAGCTTATAAGCTCCACTGCCATTCAGAACGCTGGTGAGAAGGCGCCACCAGATATTATGCACTGATAGTAGGGCGAAGAGCGCCAACAATGAATGCTTCATGCAAGTCAGTCTAGGCACACTTAGAATATATTAACTGCACAACTGGCTAATGCGGTGGAATGAGAATATCACATTACTATCCTTGAGGCGAAGCTGTTTCGTTAGGTAAATGCATCCGACAGAAACTAGTGTTCAGCTCTTGCAGTTGCAGTGGCCGGCCTGGCGTCTGGTCTGACACTGCGAGCTGCCTTTGTGAATAATTGGCGGTGTTGCTTGAGTTAATGGCGACGCCCTTTGTGCTCTTATTGTGGGATGCAGGTGCCACCCGGGAGCGTCTGGGGAAGCTACGGATGCGGGTGAGCGACGCTGTGCGTATGGTTTCTGTTATTGCACTGGAGGAGTTCGGGGCATTTGCCAGTCGCCTGAAGTCCACACCTAAAGAACGAGTTCTGGTCGCTCGCGAATATGGTGCTGAAATGGCACTTAGTTCTCATCGAGTGGATCTCATGGAAAGGAAGTACAAACAGGTGAGGGCAAGGGAACAATTAAGGAACTAGTTCTGGCGCCGAAAATTCAACTTATGTAAGAGTGAAGCGAACTGGTCAAAATGGCGGGGATGAATCTTGAAGAGGCTCCCGTATTATGCGCGGCTATGCTTGAAGCACATTTTGGAATGTATTGCTGCGTTATGGTGAGGGTCAGCTGCCTGCCTGTGAGCTGCGTGGTGCGCAGCTATGCGACGCCTATGATAAAATCGTGGAGCGCGTTCAGCACTGGGACAAGGAACTAACTGCCCATTCCATCCGAATCTCCGAAAGGGCTATGGAGGAAATGCGTATTCAGATGGACAGTTACGCAAGTGCTGCGGGAGCTGCAATGTCAGTCAAGGAAACAGAGTTCACGCGTTTCGTGAAGAACTCAAGGATGGAAGACCTTTACTTTCAGTCAATCATGGAGGATTGCGTGGAGCAGCTCAGTTACAAGGGAGTAGCTGTAATTGATGTCAGCAAAGCACGGGATCCAACTAATCCAGGGATCGCCACAGCGGGCGGCTGGATCAGCAAGATAATCGAAGCCGTCTCTTCGGTAAACTCATCTTGGGCCATGTAAGATGACAGCGTAGACAATGGTTTGCAGGGTGGTGTTGCTTCACTTTTCGCCACGATTTCGTCCACCAGTATTTTACATATTGTTGTAGATAAAGGCCGTGCTCACATTTTTTCCCTGCAGCCAAATTATTTGTAGACAGGCTGTAGATGCAGATGTGCAGTTGCAGGCCATTCACAAGGCACGCCATCGCTGTTGGAGAGCAGCATAAACCGTGGCTATTCGCATGCATTGTGTTCGATGCTCAGCTACCCTACTTTTGTGCATGTGGACGAACAAGATACGAGGTATCCCGGTGGTTCTGGCCGACTGCAGCTTCAGCCGTCAGTGCGAACTATTCAGGCTGCAGTGGAACCGTTGTTTAAGGAGCCCGGCCTATCTCAGTACTCCGTAGTTTCTATTAGTCAGCTATTGACGCGCATTGTTGTCGCATCAACCAATGTTGCTGGAATGGCAGTCTCCCCGGTTTCCGTGTTTGCTTCAACTGAGCCCGCTGTTGTAACTTCGGCCAAACATTTTGGTTTTCACTTCACTCGACGTCTGGCACACCTGAAAGCTTCAGATTTCAGCATCACGAACAACGACCAGAAGGTTGTGATTGCCTACATCGGGAGAACTCCGCGTGAGTCTATCCCCCCAGACAAGTTGTCCATACTCCGCTAATTTTTTCAAGTTGCTATACAAGCTTCATCTGGACATCTGGGAGGGATGCTTTCAGCATGTAGCCAGGTGTTGGTCAGCTGCATGTGGCTGTGAGAAGCACTTTTCTAGGTACTGTTCGATGCACAGCTAGCGTATTTCATGGGGTGCTAGAGGGAGGGAGCTTCCTTGGAATGAGCCTTTGACACCAGGTTCCCCAGTTTCATTGTTGCTTGTTGAAAGGGCTGCGTTGTTTGCATGCAGAGGCCGAATTTAAAGGGAGCGAGATGAATTTAACCTGGCTTGCTCAGCTAGGCACCGCCATCGTTTCGTTCTTGTCATTTGATGCAACCGGCCCCTTCGAACTGCTCGAGTTGCGGTCGCGAGTTAGAAATGAGCTTGCTTATGTGGCAGCAATCGAACGAAATACAAATACACGGCTACTGTCTGGGGCGGTGGCCAGCAGCTACGATACGCTGTTGGCTGAAGGCGATTCTGACCTCGGATACTTCAAGCTCTTTGAGAGACATAACACGGCAGTTTTCGTGGGAATTACGTCGTTGCCACCTCTGCAACTGCCACTTTCGTCCTTCCTAAGGTAATTGATTTGCCCTTAACAGTAAGCAACTACTTGAAAGCAGCTGTCTAGCGGTAGCGGTATGAGCATTTTTGACTGATAGCTGATCCTGGCCTTGTTGCGTCTCAGGGCGGCTGCGTTTATTATGCGAATTGAGGTTGCACGCTCCGCTTATGGCCAGAGGGAATATGTGGTGCCCTCGAGGGATACTGTCCTGCAAGCCCTGACTCATCTATTCTTGTACCCGCAGATGGGGGACGCCCAGGCCCTCGTCCGTACGCAGCTGAAGCGAGACACACGATTTCCGTTCCTTCGGGTCAAATCGGGCGTGTCCTTGGGCTACCTCATAACATCTCAGCGACGAATTCTGCTGGGCAGGGACCACCTTGCAGACCTCAGAAGTCAGCACGTTCGGAGGAACTCCATGGTGGCAACTTTGACATCATATGTTTCCACTGACTTCATTCCACAGAATGTGGAGTCTCTACGAGGCGCGCTGGATGGCCGTCTACTGTATGTGCAGGTTTGCATTGTCGGAGAACAATGCAGCTGACGGTGGGGCTGCAAAAGTGTGACTACTTCGCAAGCGAAGACCAGTGGCCTGCCGTTCCCAGATCTGAAGCATCGCCTAACAGGAAGTGCACTGTGACCTCTGCGGGGTTAAATATACCGGCTGTGGCATTACGGATGGACTCTTATCAGTTATCTGCTTTCTTGTGGTAGTTTGCCCTTGCTGATAACCCGTTCACACGGTCGGGGAGTACTGCAGTACATCGTAAATCTTTAGAGGGGCTGCATGCGGCAGCGCAGTAGGTTCTGTATGCAAAACACGCAGTGATACAGTTGAAACCGCAGCCGCCGAAATGGACCGCAGGCTGCGGGGCTCAGAGAACCATACATTCCGGAACACTTCCATTCTTGGTCCTGCGAACAGTCATTTGTAAAGTGCCAAGTTAAATTAACACCTCCCATAGGCATGGAAAGGCGAGTGAAGACATGAGTAACAATACCCCCTTCCGTTGCACCAGAGTCGCCTTCTTCGTTGCGGAAGTCGCAAAAGCTGCGTAGCAAAACTTTGCCAAATACAGTTTCCGGAAATCCAGTCTGAGCATGCTTCTAATTGCGACGACACAAATGCGTCGCCGTCGCACGGACACAGGCCTCTCCTTTTCCACAAGCTGCTTCGCCATGCACAGTGCTTCCGCCTAGGACGCCCGCTATTGGCCCTTGGCAACGCCTACGTCTTCAGCATTAGCGCCGCGCGGCAGCTTTCGTGGAGGTGAGTCAGGTTTTGGCTGCAAACAAATATACGCGAACGCGCCCGGCATGGCATGCCTTGCAATTTAAGTACGGCGCAGGCGTTGCAGTGCCACATAGGCAATATGGACAAATATTGCTCATAAGAACTACACACAGCAAACAGCAACTAGACGATGACGCACCTTGCTCGTTTTGTCTGGCGTTGAGGAGTCACCTCGTTGCTGGTCTTTATTGCTGTCGTTTCGTCCGCGTTGCGCGCTGGCCGGATTCGACCCAGACATGGAAGTGGTTGACGCTGAGGCCGGGGGAGTTTGTGCAGTTGTAGGTGTTTGTTGTTCATTTTGCAACTTTCCATGCAATGCATCCAGCACCACTGCAGCGTAGCAGGCAGATAGAGACAACTGCGGTGAAGCCACTTGTGTTTCGACAACAAATACGAGCAGCTGCACGCCTAGCAGGAAGCAGCCCCGACTGCGGATACCGAGCGAAATATGCCTTAAAGGCCAAACAGTGGCAAGACGCTGTCAGTAGAGCCAACCTCCGCGGGATCTACTTGTCTAACGCATTTCTTCACTGTCTCATACCTTGGGATATGCCATCTTTCAAAGCGTTGGGATACATGTACTCCAGCACGGCATTGAGTTTCTGAGGACAATCATTCAAGCCCAAAAATAGTGCGCTGTCGCCTGAACGACAGGAAACCAGCGTTGCGCTGGCTATACTCGTCACTTAGTTTTAGATGCACAGGAGTGAAGGTCAAGGGAAACGTTTGCTTTCTATTCGGTTCACAATGGAGACGCTCGAAGATGTTCTGTCGACAGTGCTAACCGCTTCTGCCCTTCAGAATATGCATGTTTACCTGAGCTGGTGAGAAAGACCAGCACCTAACTTGTTTGGTCGTCTTGTTCCACGCAAGGCCTGCACGCACATGCCCAACAGTAACGGACTAGATAGAACACGATATACTGATAACAGGCTTCTGTCCCAGCTATATGCCACAATGCGCTTGTTCGCCCCTTTGTAACAGCCTTGTCTACGGAAAGCACCTTCTTAGTACACTATTTAAGGTATTCTCCTCCCCCTGTTTTTACACACTGCGCCTTCGCTAATCATGCAATTAAAAAAGTGATCAAAAGCCTAAAAATTGTTGGAATGTGAGTCAAATTTCGCACGTGAGGGTATGATGGTGGTTCCAAGTGAAGGTGCTGCCCATGCTAGAGTAAAGAGAATCAACGGTCAGACCTCTGTTTGGCTGTGCTAGAGCGCATCGATTGATCACATCAATGCACTCCTTCTCGCCGCCATGTTCGATCTCAAAGGCTAAAAACGAGGCCCACGCGTCGCCCAGCGAAGGGTCAAGAGTGACACTGCGATTCATCCATTTGCGGGCCTTCGCAATCTTCTGATCCTTCCAAAACAAACGAGCAACTGCGTGGATCACGTTCGCGTCATTCTCGCACTTGGTGAGGGCATCGACTGCCCTATGCGTCTGAAGCATACAAAGATGTTCGAGCAAACGGGGAGGACAACCGGTTGGTTCAAGGCACATACGAAACTCAAATGCCGCACACGCTTCATGCGTTTCACGACTGTGTGTATCTCAGCACCGCCTAGCAGAATGACTCGACTACCAACTGATGCTAGCTACTAAGTGAAGTTGCGCAGTGCACTAAACAGCCACTGATACGTAATTGAACAGACATGCATCTGCCCTCCCCCTACTTGAGCATTCTCATCCTCAAGGAAAATCGCCTCCGCCCATATGATGCCTGCATTAGGACACGCCTGAATAGCCTTAGATGCAACATGTTGCGCAACCTCCCGGTTCCCCGAGTCTACCTCAACTTGTACGAGCGCCAACCAGAGCTCCGGACTGTTTGGAACGCGCAGTTTAGCCTTTTCCAACACTGCACGGGCCCGGTTCCAGTTCTTCTGGCTCCTTTCGCAGTTCACCCAGCATAGCCACAGCGGCACACTACGCGGGCAGCACACAGTGCCTTCACGAAAGACGTCAATGGCCTTCGCCAGGTCTCTGTGGATTGGGTGCTCCTCGTGCAGTTGCCCACGAACCATCCACAACTTAGCAAAGGTCTGGTGTTGCTTCACTGCCTCATCTGCCAGGGCAATCGCAGCGTCATAGTCACCCAGTTGCCGCTCGAGCTGGATGGACTGCATCCAGACGTTTGCCGTGTTAATGTTTTGCCGTGTACGTTTAAGGAGCTTCCTGGCACGTGCAAACTCATTGTTCTCCCTCTCCAGCTTTACAGCAGCAAGAGATATCGCCTCGCTGTTTTCGTTATGAGAAAATGCTTCGGCCAAAATGCGGCGTGCTGCGTTGATATCTCCCTTAAGCCACTGCTGTTTTGCTGCCATCAGCCACAAGACATCCGCCTTCGGGCAGCAAGTAACAGCTTTCTGAAGCACCTTCTCTAGAGCTTCCCGAGTGCCATGTTTAGTTTCAAGGTCCGCAAGCGCCAACCATAAACTTTTCTTCGTCTTCAGTCGCTCGAGAGCATGGGTATACAAAGCCCTTGCCACAGTTATGGAGCCCCTGCTGAGGCATTCCTCTGCATCCTCACTCCAGACGCGCTTTGCATTGATGCCCTCGACTCCAACTTTCATGGTTGCCTTGATAATCGCCTGGGCGGTCGTCAGGAATCCAGAACTCTCAGCTTCTTCTGCTAGCTTCAGCCACACGTCCCTAGTCTGAGCAACCCCGCGGCCAATTAAGTTCTCCACGGCCCTCCCAATAATGACCTGAACCATCTTTTCGTTCCCTTGAGTTTCCTCCAGTTTGCACGCAGCCACCCATATTTCGGGAGACGTCGGGCACTTCTTGCGCGCTTCATTTAAGACCTTTTGGGCTTCCTCATAAGTGCTTAGTCGTGCCAAAGCCAGCCACATCTCATGAGACTGCGGGACACACTCAACAGCCCGAGTCAGCAATATCCGGGCGTTCCGCTCATCTTCTAAGCTACACGCTTCTTTCCAAAGCCGGACAGAATTTGGGATAAACTCCAAAGCCTTTCGTAGCACTAAACGCCTATCGTTTATGTCCTTCTCCCTTGCGTAGGCATCCAGCCACAAACGAACCTGTCGCATACACGCAAGATGCCAGACCAGTGAAACGGCACGCACACGCAACTCATATGGAAATCAAAGTAACACAGAAAACAGAAGTGCGATCACTGTATCGGGAACGCGCAAAGAACAGTGGGAGGTATGCAGACCTATCGGATTGGGCCCGAGCAGTGGTTGCTCTTAACATGGAGAGCCAAAAGCTTCGCCTACCGAGTGCGGCAGCACAGAGACTGCTTTTGCAAGTACCGCCTTAGCATTGCGGGGCTTCTCGAGACGGGCAGCCTCAAGCCAAACGTCTTCGCTCTTCGGGCATCGCTGGCATCCCAGCGATATCAACTCGCGAGCAGTCTGCAGTTTCCCTGGTTCAAAAAAGCAACACACAACTGGACACCTCATAAGTTAAGCGACGAAGTGACTCCCAGAGATGAGAGCAAGTGGGCTGTGCCAAGCCAGCAAGGAACAACTAGCCAAACAGCACCTGCAAGCTCTTCCAAACGCGCTGCTGCAATCCAGCCCGGCGCATGGTTGGGATTGGTAGAGATCACCGACTTCAACAAAGTCCTTGCTTTCTTTATGTCCGCAATATCTGCGTCACTTTGCAGCTGAGCACAGGCAACATACTAGCTAAAAATAGGCAAGAAATGGGCCACTACAGGATCCCCCAGCATACGGATGCGTGATGACAGGTCTATCTAAGGCGCATTCAACAACAGCGCGCTATTCAGGAAGGCCGCACCTGCATGGAGTTGAGGTCAGTAAGGTATCCCTTGGGGTCGATAACAGTCTGGCCCGAAATGCTATCCATCACCTTGTCAAGCTTAACAGAAAGCACTGTCCCGCGGGCTTCGCCAAGGTCATTTAGAGACGGAGTGCTGCTTCCCATTGGCGTGCGCAGACCCAGAGGAGTCTGAATGCCCAGAGGAGTCTGCAGGCCAAGGGGGGTAGACAAGCCTCCAGCCATTAGGGGTGTTGCCATTCCAAACCCGATGGGAGTGGCGGACCCTGCGGACGCAATCGAGTTAGAGAAAGACTCGCGGTTGCGAGCTTCTAATATCCCCCTATCCGAAGCAGGGGTTAGCATCTGTTGCTTCTTCTGCTTCCGCTTCAACGTATAATCCCCAATGTCCGGAATAGACTCCCATTCCTCTGCAGCGACAAAGCAAAGAGCTATCATGCCATCCCCTTTGAGGATCTTGAAGTAAGGCACGCGTCAGCAGTGAGATCACCTGAGTGAGATGCTAATAGCTGCAAGCTCCTCAAGTTCTCGTGTTTTCCGAAGGAGCCTTGGCACAGTGAGCTAACCTTGTGTGACGCTGGTCAATCCCTTTTTGAGGTCTGCAAATTGTTGATGTATTGTTGGCTTCTCCGCGCGCAGCTTTGCGATTTCCTCCTTAAGTCTAGCCTCTCGACGCGACCGGCGGCGCCCATCCATCCGTTGGTCTATGGACTCGTACACTTCATCAGCCACTCTGTCTTCCTCATCGTACCTACAACAACAGCACTTCCCATGGGCTTTTCGGATATCACGTAGGTAGCAGGTTGCTCGCAGTTAGTTGGGCAGCCTCAGGAGCCACCTTGAAAATGACTGCGCTGCTACAGAATACCCCCGTACCCGTGAAGAGAGAGTGCAGCACATGCTAAAGAAATGCAACTAAGCCGGAGACCCACGAATATGTCTCACTCTGCATCATTAAACAGGTTCTCGGCATAGCCAGTGAAGGGGTCGAAATTCGCATCGCTCAAGTCACTCTTATCAGCAGCTCCCTGCGTGTAGTCTATGGAATCATCACGACTTACACCACCAGCAAACCCAGTCGCGCCGCGCCCCCTGCCGGGGATATATCCAGGTGGGGGCTTCCCAAAAAGCCTAAACAACACAAAGCGACATACGGGGACCAAAAGTGAGAGTAAACGTGTCCTTAAATTATATCTAACAAACTTACACCTACTCTCCTATCATTACCGAGGTAACATGCGCAGATTGCATGACAGCCAGGAGGAACTTCCCCCAACCAGACCAGAGCTTACTCATTCGCTCGCCTTTGGCTCTCCGCGCGAGATGCCGCATCGCGCATTTCTCTGAGTTTTGCATTGGATGCTGTAGGGGCAGGAGCTGTCTCTGCCCTCGTAGAGAAGGCAGTAGCTCCACGGCCGAGGCCGGGGACATAGTTCGGGAGCGGCGTATCATTCGCTCCCGTGGGAACGAACTTCCGAGCACCCGGAAGCAGCGATCGGGACATTTCTATGAATGCTCCAATAAGCGAATCCGCCCTCCCGAATGCGTAGTGGTCAACAACAATTCATCCAGAGATACAAACGAGAAGCCGCCTGTGAAACTGCATGTAAGCTTCAAATTGAAATCAGCAAGCACATTTAGCCCCACTGCACTAAACAATGCTCCATTTGTGCGGAGCTTGATGCAACACGCTTGGTCACCTAATGCAGCTAATAGCCGCATGCGCATCCGAAGATGCTAGATAGAATGACTCCGAATTTCCTGGCGATCAGCAACAACTGTGCCGGCTTCGTCTGACAGGCAGTATACGCCTCGCCAAGGACACTACTGCCCCGATAAGGGTGATCCGCACCGTGTCTCAAGAAATATCCCTCAGGCTAGATTGGGCTCTCGCTACGGGCACGGCCAGAGGGTATGCAACGAGGAACTGGCACGGGTTTAGGACCACAGAGGCAGATGCCAGCGGAGAACTACCATTCTAACGTCTTGCCTGGAAAAGAAACACTTTTCGCGTAAATGGTACAACGCCTTCACAGAAAGCTGAACATTGCCATCGCAGGTTATAATGCAATGCATGCGTTCAAGCAGCGCCAGCCCCCCGGCAGCCCCCTCGATACTGCCTTAAAGCGTCCAGCCATGGACAAAACGAGTGAGCGTATCTTTGTGGCTTTTTTAGAATGGCGTTAAGCACATTTAGAGCCTTTATTAGAGTGGCATAATTTGAAGAGCTCAGGGTGGATATTTGAGGACGCGGTTTTTCAGGCCGTGTGCTGTTTAAGCGTGGGTTTACCAAGTGCAGCGCTCCCCGACTGCTCCAGTTTCCACTCTGAGAATGCGGTGTAGGAAAATAATACTGACTATAACCTTTTTTGAAGGGTTTGTTATAGGTTTCTGGTTTGGAACTGTTGCGGCTTGCGCAGATCCGGTAAAGGCGTGGCGCATTGTAGAGTGGCCTGGCCGATGTTAGCATATGTACACGTCTGTGTTTTGGTGTTAGCCTGCACACAAGCAGAAGTGCAGCAATATTTTACAGTATTGGCGTAGACAGCGGAGCTGGGGTTCCGCCGCGCTTGAATGTGAAGGTGCCTTGAGCCATTAGTTGCAACGGGATGCGTTGCAGTTCATGTCAGTGAGCCACCCCTCTCTCAGCCCTAGACAGTTGAGTCGCTGTGCATAGAATATGAGTTTGGGAGAGGCGCTCAGCAGTTTTTCGGAACTGTTATCTAAAGTTTTCTTTCCCGACAGTAGGTGACAATGGTCTTTCAATGAGATTTCTGACTCTCGATGCAGTTGATAGCATCGCATGGTTCATCGGAACAGCTAGCAGCAACGAGTACCACCATCTCACCAGGGTGCCCTTCTGTATGGCAGTGACTAGCACCACAGGTCCTTTACAAATTGCAAGAAAGTTAGGAAGTCTTCACCCCTTCTCTCCCTTTGCATCATGCGGAATGATCAGGATCTGCCCTCTGGCGGGGAAGCGGCCAACGTTTGGGAGCTTCGTTGCCTTTACACCAGCTGAGTATCTGTATCTCATCCAGCGGAAAGTAGCTTTGGTGCAAAAGCGATCCATGCAGAATGCCTCCGCCGTTGCCAAACGGGAACATGCAGCGGGAGCCGCAATGTGGGGGCAGTGGAGTTTCTGGTTCCTCTGGGGTAGTATTTTCTCTTCTAAAGTGCACCCGAAGAGTTGCAGTTGCTATTCGATATTGGGAGGAGGGCAAGACAACGTTGCTTACATCTATGCAACTTGTTCTGAAGCACATTCGGAGAGTGGAGGCCTTCCAACATGTGCTGAGACATAGGTTTATTCCCACGTCAAGGGAGCATGCTATGGAGATATGGAAAAACTTAAACAAGGAAAGCGATCGATATAGCTCCCCATCGATAAGATTACTCCTATTGTACCAATGATTCAGTGCAGGCCTTCCCGAGGAGCGAGGCACCCGATAACCAACTGGGGCGCGGTGCTCGAATTAAGGAGAAAACGCTGACTTCCTCGAGTAAAGAGAATGATTACGCATCAACAGGACGAACAAACGCCACTTCCGCCGCCCTATCTCAGAAAGAAGGGAAAATATTGTCGATGACCCGGATTTTGAGCCTAGATGGTGAAGCTGCGAATGCTACCCCCACCCCAAGACGGCTAGAAGGCCTTAATCGACAGCAGCTGATTTCTTTTTGCCCCTAGAAAGCAGGCGAAACATACCGAGAGGCGCATCTGGTGCTTCTGCAGTAATTAACGGCACATAACTCGAGGTTGCGGACGTCTGAAGGGCACAATGTAACTGCAGAAGCAAAAATTCGAACAGAGCCAACAGGGGAACTAACACATCTGTATAGAAACACCGTGGCCCCCACGCAATGCGCTGCGCATTGGCGAGAACGGAAGAGGTGGCAACTAGGCCTACAGAAGAACCCCGAGCCAACTGTGTGCATAACCAGGCTCTTAATTATGTTCACATATGTAGTCAACAACAAGGACCTTTGCGCTGGCCAGTTGTTGGACGTCCAATGCACCGCGCCGAACTCATTTCCGGTGAGGTTCAAAGTTTTTTTCGAAGTCCAGACGACCTCCGCATCTTGAAGAAGAAATCGAGTAACAAACAGATAAACTGCTGAGAAAGAGAAAGGCTCAATCATCAACTACACAGCACATTGGCCGGTGCTAGGAGAAAAAAGACTTGGGGTGGCGCATGGGCGTCAACTTGAGCGTCAAGAAGCTCACGGAAGAGCAAAAGTCTTTGATGCTTCGTGTAGACGACTCGTCATGCGTCACCGCATGCAGGGTTATGGAGTCTATTTATCATTTGATTTTGGTGGGATTTGGCAGATCCCAGTAGGTGGCGACCCGATGCACACGACTACGTTCCATACCTTTGCACGCGGAGTAGAGTACAAGTGTGTGTCCTTTAGGCTTGTTAATGCACCTACCTGCTTGCAACGACAGGTAAATCACGATTTATTAAGGGTAATCAATAAGGAATGCATGGTTTTGTGTAAGGGAGAAGCGTTTGCTTTTAGCTTGAAAGCGCAGGGGCGCCTGCTATAATGCACAAGCGTTACAATGGTACTTAAATTGGTGCTGTAGAGTTCTATCCTGCACAGAAAGTGCAAATAATATACTAGTACAAATAAATCAAGTCACTTTAGACAGGAAATAAGGCCACCACTGTAAGGGTTCTCGGCAGCTACCCCGGGTCTCGGGCTGGCTGTGAAACGTTGACCCGCAAAGGGTCCGCATCGACTGAAGAATTATTGACTCTTCCTCCTTGAGGGCAATTGGACCCGGACACAGGTTAGAGACTGCAATTTGGTATATTAGGTTAATTTAAGGGTAATACGCTGACTATAATGCTTATACATCGAATTTGCACCTAGCAGTATGCATAGGACTCAAAAGTAGTAGAAACGGGGAGCGCTGTTCACTAATCCTGCAGCACCAACGGCGTGCTCTGCAAGTGCTACGTGAGAACTAGTGGTTCGTCAGAGCACAAAGATGCCAATTTTTCATGCAAAGGACTAGCTCCCTACGGTTTCGTGCGTCTGAGGCAGCTGCCGAACCAGATCCGGGAAAGATAGAGAAAGTTCAGAGGTAGCAGCTGCTGGACACTTGGACGGACGTTCAGAACTCCTGTAGAGTATCGCACTCCAGCAACTTTGCCCCTAGAGTGTTTCGCATTGCCGCCCCTCATACGGATCAACTTAAGCAGCAAATTGATCTTTTTGGAAGGAGAGCGACGGTGCAACCTCAGAAGCCACATTATTCACCTGTTATCGCCAGAAGAACTGGCGTTCCTTGGTTTTGACGAACCCTTCTACCTACTAACGATGCCAGTAACACCGCAGTTAGGGTGATTCTCCCTTAGCACGCCAACAACGGCACGAAGCACCAATAGACTTTTACTACTTCCACCGTTCCAAGGAAAGAAAGCAAAATTATCCATTTGTAAGGGAAAATCCTACGCTGCCTGATGAGGAGAAAAAAATGCCAACAAAATCCATATGGCAAGCACATTGTCGTTGACATCGATCAAAACTCCCTGGCACACCTGACGAAGAGCTTCCAAGAGTACGATAATGAACGCGTCCCTAGGTGACCCTTCCCGCTCGCGCAGAATCGTTTTATGGTCAAATAGATAAAGGACGATAACAAGGAGTTCGCTGATGCACTCTTCCGGCTCCATACAAGCCAGGCACTGCGTTTTGTAACTGCTCTTGTCTGGGATGGTTCCCCTTCTCTCGTTAAAGTGTATTTCCTTACTCTTTAGATGTTCATCCGACTGCACTTCTTGCAAATCTGAATAGAAAAGGCGGTTTGAGCGGTGCAGCGTAGACAGCAATCCTTTGTGGTGTCACACAAAGCCTGGACTCCGCCCGTTATACGTTCCCGCTTCGCTTCGCAGATAAGCGTTTTTGCGGAAAACGCACGAGCATGCTATAGTAGGCCATGGCGGGGTCAATAAAGCAATCGCGGGTGGCCACGAGCTATTCGTAGCCTATAACGTGCCCCCCAGCAAGGCGTATGACCTCGTTTGTCCGGAATGCCAGCAGATAGAGCTGCGGATCAATCTCCAACCTGGACTTTTGCAGGGCCTCCCGATTCCCAAACCGGTCTGAGCGGATATATCACCGTATTTCATGGTGATTTTACCACCAGCAAGAGGTTCCTATAGCATCTACGTTGTCCTGGATAGACTCCGGAAGAGACTCTGGAAGAATGCCCGCTCCCTCACCTGTTCATGTTCGGTTACAGCAGAGGGAGTAGCCCGGTTATTAATAATCATCTGGGGAATCTAGATGGTTTCCTGGAAAAAATCATTGCGACAGGAGCCAAACTTAGTTAGCAGCCTCTGGAACGAATGGATGAAGTCGCTTAATATTAAGCATAACATGACCTCTGACCGCTGAGAACCGTTCGCAGGCAGATGGCCGAACTGTATGCACCAATTGCGCGCTCTCGCACTTTTTGCCACTTTATTCCCAGCAAAAATTAATCGAAGTGCCTTAATTTCCTTGTGCGTAAAGCGTGCTCTCTTCAATTCGTTGCTCTCCGACTCCCCTGATCTACACCGCAACACCGTTCTCTGACCCCGCGTTAGATCCGATTGTTGGAATTCAACCCCGTGCGGCAGCTGGTTCTGGGTTCCATACGCAGCAGAAGTGCGTGAATGCGAGGGAAAAGCATTAGAATGCCAGTCAATAAAGTACGACAGACGACGCTCATCAATTACTTTTAACCCAGGTAGCTTGCCTTCAGTGGATGCTCACGTTCCTCGAAGGGACCAGGACGGTGAGAAGCCGGAAAAGTTCGCCCTACGGCGGGTAGAGACCTTTGTTATTTGTTCTTCGGTAAAGGCGTTGACACACATCCTCCACCTAATCCCCAACAAGGGGACGTCACCGTACCATCAAGGCTGCCTTTTTCAAACGGTCCAGGGAATCACCGAAATACTTCCCAAGCTTTCCCAGCAGACCGGCAGCGACGGCATTGCGAGAGGGCGCAAATGGACCACAATTACATGGTGGACACACGGGTAACAACCTACGGAGGCCAAAGAAATCGGGATTTTTTTAAAAGGCAAGGAAAACAAACACGACTGGGTTTCCGAGGGCCCCTTGTGAGAAGTAATTCGTCTGGAATATTTTCGAGCATTAGTTGAGATAGAGGGGCTCATGGCAATCGTGGGTGTGAGCAGAGCAGCGAAAGCTGGGCCATTTAGCGGAAGTTGTTGGTAATAGCGCTGTCACCGGCGTATAGGGGCGTGTATGCCACTTCGTAGCACCCCCTTGAAGTCCATTTTTTTGCGTTATGATCTACTCTTCCTCCTCTGCCTACTACCTGCTACTAGCTCAGCTGTGCTACTAATACAGTGATTTTTGTTCATGCTTTCGGGCAAGATAGTGCCACTTGGGGCTTTCAGGGGAGTCCCTTTCCACCTACTACACAAGCTATTGGTGGGTCATGCAATTTTTGCTTCTCCCTTTACATACCTATCTCAGAGGCACCAGCAGGAGAAGGCCCCTCAGGAGCGGCCTTGGGAGCAGATACTGGAAAGCGGCAGCAGCAGCACCAGCAGTGGCAGATGCAGCTGCTGCAGCAGTAGCAAATGCAGCAGCAACACGAACACGGTCTGACGCAGCTGCTGAGGGTTCTGCTCCAGTTAATCTTTCCGCTAGTTTGCGGGAGCAGCAGCATACCAAAACAGTCCATGGGTACTGGGCAGTACGCATGGATCTTGCTGAGTTGCAAAACGAATGAAAATGTTATGGTGATTCATTTGTCTAGTGTAGTGTGCGGTTTGGTGAGAAAGATGGCACCTTTGCATCTGAGGTTTTTCACCGCTAAGCACGGTGTTCGTAGATGAGCGATCGTCTCCGCGGTGTAGCGGCTAGTGGAGTTTGAGGCATGCCCCTCCTTGTTACTCTACGCAGCGGGGACAGACGTAGAGATATGCTGTTATGCTGCTGAACAATTGTTTTTAAAACCCTAAACGTTTAACTCCTAACGCGCTAACTTCCCTCTGGACACCAATAGACGTCGGCCAGTGCCAGAGAGACGCAGGGGCTACTATGGTTCAGCTTGCTTAACAGATGCATGCAGAGATCATTTCATTTTTTCATATTTAGTCCTTTAAAAACAGGCTGATCTTGTGTTCAAACTCCTTGCCCGAGATCCGTCCATGCAACCTCTGATTGGGCCAGGGTGTAGTGCACAGGCACGGCAATGGACCTCATATGAAACCTCTAGAGGTCTATCCTGCCGGAGTGTACAAATATTATAATATCAGACGTATATCAAATAGGTTTAGACAGAAATTCAGATTACCAGGCTGCTAGTGGCAATCAAGGGTTTGGGGCTGATTGTGAGGCTGGCACTACAGCCTACGCACTGACGCATTGGAAGCCAAATTTGTTCTTCAATTTTTCATTTTGGAGAAGGGGGGACCCGAATATGTTGTAAGGGCCGTATTTTGCAACTCAGGTCAATTCATGGAATATTCGTTGAGTTCAGTGCACAGATTTAGAGTGCGCAGCCCGTAGGTGGGTATAGGTTAAATGTAGTAGCAGCAGAGTACGCTGCTCACTACACAGAGCCTTGGCCAGGGCAAGCTTGCCAGCCAACTTGGTGCCATCGCGCTTTCGAGCACTAGGACGTTCTTGGAGGCGCTGTTACATGAAAGAAAAATTTATATGACTGTGAAATTGGGTGTCAGCCTTTTCTCGGCTTGTTGTTGCGTAAAGTGTTAAAGCTGTCGCGCAACCGTTCCTTAGAGGCTGGTGCGGTTGTGTAGCATGGTTGCTGTCTGTATGCTATGGTACTTCTTTTAAAACCGCCTTTCAAATTCAAGGCTGGGGAAGGAGGAAAACGCTTGGGAAAGTGCTGAACGAAGGGACTCCGGGGGGCGTTACGTGACAGCATTCAGGGCATCCCAGGATCTCGTTACAGGTGAACTGCTAGGATGAATATGAATAATAATAGCAAATATTATCAAGATTATTCAAAGAGCAAACTCCATACATGTGCATGTGCATATATATACATATATATGACTATGCCTACATCCACTAAATACATATATATATATATATATGTATATATATATATATACATATATGTATACATATATATATATATATATATATATGTATATGTATATGTATATATATATGTATATGTATATATGTATATATATATATATGTATATATATATATATATATATGTATATGTGTATATGTATATATATATATGTATATGTATATGTATATGTATATATGTACATATGTATACATATATATATACATATAGTGATATATATATATATATATATATATATATATATCACATGCGGGCGCGCACACAAGCAATCACCCACACCCACATCCGCACACGCCCCCAATCAATAAATAATCGAGGGAAGAGGGACGGAAATATTGATATAATAATAATACAGCGATACAAGCAGCAGTAGCTTTCCTTTCTTGTAGCAGAGGAGAAAGATATACACTTTTGCTGTGACAGGCTGAGCGACCGCAGCCCCGACGGCAAGCGTGCTGTTTCTGCTGTGCATGCCGGCGATGAAAGTTCGATTTTCTGTGGACATCGTCTTTATAGATGCTAGAGAATCCCAGAAATATCATTTTTTATAATCCAAATCAACCGCAATGTCTCGGGCGGTGTACGCGAAACTTTGGGCTTCTACGGCGCAGTTTCAGCAGCGGAGGCACTATGCCTGGTATCAAGTTGGGTGCGTTTTTACGAATTTTATGTAGTTAAAACCCTTTGGAGCATTTACAAATACTCTGAGATACCTGTCTGAAGATTATTAGAGGGATTCCGTGGAAGTGTCCACTCAGGTCGCCGTCACCACACGCAACAGCAACCGCTGATGATCCAATTGACGTACATACACGCCAAATTTGACTCCTGCTGCATTTTATCTTCGTTTGGCGGTGCATTCTTCTATTTCTGTTGCGCATTTTCCTTTTTTTTCTGATGAAGCGATACTACAGGGGCAGTCTGCCATTCGGGCAGTCTGTTGTTGGACAGAACGGAAGAGACTCAATGAATGCGTGTGTGCGTGTTTATGATGTAATCGTTTCCGGTGAAACTTTAAGATACGGTGTCCGTGACATTATGAACTCTTGCTCTTTATATACATGTATCCGACTGTAAGTATAAGTATCGACAGCACTGTGTACGCATACCTTCAACTAGAATCGATATATTCCTGTTGTGCAAACTTTAACAAATCCATATATTATGTTCTGGTTGCCGTTTACACATGGTTAAATGCATATGCTGCATTTCTGCCATTTACAGTTGAGTAAATCCTTTTCTCTTATTTTTCTCAGGTCTCGCGTTGGCCTCTGGGCAGTGCCAGCCGGTATTTGGGTCAGTTGGTTGCTTTTCCCTGCGTTGCCTGAGGAGTATCGAAGTGCGGTTACTTTCGGAATTTGGAAAAGGCCAAATGTAGGGACGCAGACGACAGACTTTTGAGGGTAGTTTTGCTGCTGGTCTCAGCATGCATGCATGCAGATGATGAATGCGTTTGATGGAGGACGCGTGCATGCTTTCCTTACTGCTTTTTCTTCTTTCCAGCTTTCGCCTTTACTTTTTTTCCGTGCTGCGCTCCTCGCTACCCCTACAGCAGCAACGTTACACGCTGACAGCAGCAGCAGCATCACCAGCGGCAGCGATTGAACAGCAACTACGGCAACAGCAACAGCAGCAACCTACTGCAAGATAAGAAGAAATAGTTCTCATCGGCGTAGCCACTCAGAGAGTCACAGCGGTTGTGTTTGGGGGCGAGTGACTGCTTCTGATGCTGTGATGCATCATGGTATACTAGGTATTGTGATGCATCATGATGATGCTATGATGCACTATATCTGGTTTACTATGAGGCCAACAACAACTCCTCTATTTGTCTGTCCCCTCGCCTGTAACCCCCCGGGAAAAAGCAGTTTTTCTGCTTTCTTCGTTGGGCATTTCTTCTGCTCTGTCCATCATGGCGGACTTGTTGCAACAAACGCTGATGAAACTACAGCAGATGTGTACAGTTCCTCCCCATCATTTAGGCATCTGCGGTACACTCCACAGAGCAGTTTGGATTGCATGCATGTAGGGCCACCGAAATTAAGGTTTGGGGCTGTAGTGTAATGGATTATTGTAATCAGTGGGGCTCATGCTTGCATTTGGTCTCGGATCTAATGAACCTAATAGACTTTGACAGCAAGGACAATAAAGCACCAGCGGGCGGCACAGATAAACAGATGAACAAAATGATACAAAGAGGAACAGTTCCTCTGGCCTTGATATTCTTTCGCGTGGGCTCACCAGTACCAACTTTCTCTCTCCACCAGAGCAACATGCATACAACGGACACTAAACAACTAACGCTAAACAAACACCCAGCAAGTCCAACTCCCGTTGCTGCAGGGCTTCCAGCTGCAGGCGTTGCCGCTACATGGCTGGCTGCAGGAGCTGTTGGGTGTCGCGGCACAGGCGGCAGCATCAGCTGGTGCTCTAACGACCACCTATCGCTGCAGCTTTTGCTGCAGCTGTTGCCATTGCTGCAGCTATCTATTGCTGCAACTGTCCCTCCACCAGTTTGCGTGGGATGTTGGCCAGCAGCTTGGTCAGTGCAGGGTGACTTGCGTTCGCCGTTCTTCGCGACATTCATTTGCCCTATCTGTCGGCGGTTTTACGACGCTGCGTTTGGATGGGTTTGCCACTGTAGTTGCTGATGCGTCTAGGGAGCTGCATTTGTTTAGTCGATGTCTTCTATCATGCTTTTGAACAGCTGTCTTGCGGTTAGGATTTCTGTTGTTATGATGAGGTACTGCACTTTCGTATTTTCGGGTCTTCTGTCTGTTTTCACAGACCCCTGCATCTCTATTTGGTTTAGCCTCCTTATTGCTGCTATCTCTGCATGAGTTACTCCTCCAATGTAGAACATCAACACCAGCAGCGGGGGAGGATCAGCGGCGTTGCAAACAGCACCTGCGCCCTCAGCCTCCACTTCACCTGAACCTACCCCCGGCCCTCGCTGCTGATGGTGCTGTTGCCGCTGCTGCTGCTGCTGTGGCTGCTGCTGCTGCCGCCTCCGCTGCCCCGGTTGCAGCTGGGGTTGCTGCTGACGGATCTCAAGAGCAGGGCCCCACAAACTGTTCAACACGTCGGGAATCGCCCGCCAGCCCGAAGGCGTCTCGTGCAACAACTGTAGCAACCTATGAATACACCCCGCAGCAGCGTCTGGGGGCACTATTCAAAGCGTTACTGATGGCTTGCCAGTAGTTTGGCTATTGCTTGATATAGAATCCTCCTGCCTCCGCAGGAAACCCAACTATCAACTATATGCATGCGCGCAGACGACTGTCATCATTCAAACATCAATGACATTGAAGCAGATATTTACCCAATGGAACGCAGACGCAGTCCTCCCACAGGTGCCATCGCTACACCGCAGACTCTCAAACATACTGCAGCAAAGACTTGATTGAAACTGCCTATACACTGTCGCTGCCTATACGGATCAGCGTGCTCTCCCTCCACCTCTGTTGGAAATACGCCGAAGATGACTGACTACACAGCTGAGGCGCCTGTGCGCCTGAGGTGCCTACACAGCTTAAGTGCCAATATAACACGGAGGGTGCCTATACCGCTGAGGTGTTCAGGTGAAGTGAGCGTCTGTACAGCTGCGGTGCACATACAGCTGAGGCACCTGCATTACAGTTGAGGTGGCTGCACGTATAATACCTGGTGTGCATATACACATGAGGTGTAATTGCTGTGCGGGCCTATACAGCTGAGTTGGTTGCCTCTAGCAGCTGAGTTCTCAATACAGCAATGCATCGCGTACCTGACTGAGAGAGGTGCATATCCAGAGCAGACGTAAGCAATGTCTGTCATCGCGCTTTGTTCATCGACCATTAGCTTGCATTTTTCCCTCACGAACTTCCAGGCCTCGGGCCCAGCATTACCTCCTCCACTTGCTTTTGTTTTTTTGAGGGGATTCTGCTCTCGGAGCAGCCCAACTTGCTGCAAACTGGCGACGCGCCGCAGCTCACGAGTCCCGTGCTGCTGTACCAGTGCATGCAGCAGCGGCTTGAGTTGTGCTGCCTTGATTCCCCCTGCTGTCACCGAGTAGAGACACAGCAGTCTGTATACCTCATCCAGGGTGGTGGCGGCTGCTGAGCAGCAGCCGGAAGCAGCAGCAGCTTCTGTCGCTGCAGACTCGTCGATTAGCTTTTCGAAAAGCTCCGTGATGCTGTTGCTGTTGCTGCTGCTGCTGCGTAGCAGCAGTAGCCCGGGTTCTAAGGCCAGAGTGCCCTGCAACAGCCTGTCTTCTAGACAGAGTCTGCTGTGGTAGTTTGGGTCTCTAGAGACAGCAGCAATAAATGATGCGAGCTTAACATGAAGGCTGAGAGATGCGTGCTCTTGTTGCTTAAGTTTGAACTTCACCATAAATGAGCTGATGTCTTGTATGGTACGGAGGCGGTCCTTTAATCTGTATGTCTCCTTTATCTCACTAGCGATGCGATGCAGCACAGCTCCTACTTCTGTTTGGTGTAAGTCCCGCAGACTTTTAAATAGGCTATCACCAGACAAAGGCACGCGCTGCCCTCGGCCTCTCTCTATCAACACACTCACTCCTAAAGACCCTGACGATGATGACAACAAGGGAGATACCACACCGTCGCTGAACGAATGCTGCTGTTCCTGCTGTTCCTGATGCTGCTGCTGCTGCTGCTGTAGGAGGTGTTTTGGGACCTCAAGGCCTGCGCCTTCGATTCCCAGAGTACTGTCAAGGAGTCCCTGGTAAGTGAAGTCCGTGCAAAGAGGAGTTATGAGATCAACTCTTCTATCAAACAAAACAGCCATATGGGGTGCATGCGGGAGAGACAAGCTACTGCTTTTGCTGCTGCCTGCTACCCACGCCCCCTCTCCTGCTTCTGCTTCTTCCGCTGTAGCAAAGCGAAGAAGGGAACTGCCGCCAGAGACAAAAGGAGGCGACGCGCCGCAGTCCTCTGCATCTAAAACTGAATACACGGGAGGCACTGGGGGAGGAGACGGCTGCTGCGTTTCCAAGTGGCCCCCCAAGCACGGATCATCAAACCGCTGCAGCACCTGCCGCTGCTGTTGCTGCTGCTGCTGCTTACGCTTCTGGATCAGAAAGTCACTCACAGCCTTTGCTGCGCTCCCAATACACCGGAGATGCGGAATGAGTCGCTGATGAGGCTGCTTCGGCTGCTGCAGCGGATGCTGGTGCAGCGGATGCTGCTGCTGCTGCTGCTGCAGTACATCAATCGCATTTGCTACAGTCTTGCACAGAAAGACATCTCCTTGTCCGTGATATGCCCTGAAAAAGTTTGGCAACTCCAGAGACAGCACGTCGCGCTCTACAGGAAACAGCTGGATAGGACAGTGCGTCACCGCCACACAGTCTGGGCTCACACTGCTACTGCTGCTGCTGCTGAAGTCCGTGCTGTCCTGAGTGGCGTTGTTGGCACTGACAGGAAGCAGCGAGTTCCCCAAGTTGGAGATGAGGGCAGCAGCAGCAGCAGGCAACGAGGAATGGCCGGCCTGCTGCTGCTCTGCGTGCGCATTTGTTGCTGTTGGGGCTGAGAGGAGACGGCGAAATTCACTCACAATGAATTCAGAAGATTCAGGCAGAAGAACAACAACATATCTCCTGCCGCTCTTTGCTGCGATCGGTGGGAGGTGAAACTGCCACAGCAGCACAGGGTCCCCTCTGGTGGAAGTCGTCCCAGATGTAGCAGCAGCAGCTTCTGCTGCTGTTGCTGTTGTTGCTGGTGCAGGCGGGGGTTGCGCTTGGGGAAAGTTCTGTTCAATGAAGTTGATGTGGCGGAGAATGAGAGGAAGACGCGAGAGACGAGCGCGACAGACAAATACAACTGTGGGGGCGCGGGCTGTCTGCGCAGGTACAGCAGAAAGAGAAATAGGAAAAGCCGCCAAAGCAAAGCAGCGCTCTACCCCGTGCTGTTGCAAAGAATGAGCGTCAATGAGATGAGAAAGAGGACACGCCAGGCTATCTTCGAGTATAAACAACTTCAACCCCTCTATCGTACTCAAACCATCCAGGAACATACGCCGGTAGTGCGCTGAGACAGCTGCAACGGTACTCCCCACGACATCCACCCCCCCACATGCAGATACATCAGATGCTCCTGAAGAAGAAGAAGAAACTTCACAAGACCCATTCTCTGCAGCCGGCGTAGGCGACGTGCTGCTCCCCAACTCAGGCCGCATGGGGCAGCTGTTGGTGTTATTCTGTGGCTGCCGTTTTCTTCCCGCTGTTTCTTTCGTTGGCACTGCTGCTGAAAGGAGTAAGCTTAGGAAAAGAGTGGCCCCCGTCTTCCCAGCTATCGTTCAGCGCAGCGGTGTGCACGGAGGGACCACAGAAAAGAAATAGGAAAACGCTACGAGCAGCTCCAGCAGTTAACTAGCGGCTGTACTGGAGAAGGCTGTTGCGATGCGTACATGCGTATTATTACAAGACATTAAAAATAAGCAGGAAAAGGCGAGACAGAAGACAGAAAAGAAGTGGACTCAAACGGACACTGAACTCCGCCGGGAGGCCCCCTCGGGCGTTCTGCTCCTGTAAGGTAGGACTGTAGATTTAATGAAATTGTTCTGCCTCAAAATAAGGGGAAAATAAGCGCAGCCTTTTTTATCTGTTTCTGTTAGTATTTCACCATGGGACGAAACACGGGGCTGCGCCACTCTACGCCTTCTCTGCATGCGACCCATCTCAGGCTCTGTTTCAAAGGAAAAGTAGGCTTTAAATTCTGCGTACATGCTTACGCGTTTCATTGAAGTGTTGTTATCAAAATTGACAACAGAGAAGACTCCTCCGTTGTGCAAACACTCACGGCGGGCCACCACTGGCTCGCTTCCTGCCTGGCGTGTCCCGATACCTGTGCGTATTTTCTGTGGGAAATATAACGTTTTTCACGTTATTTTGAGGCAGCTTGCTTTCAAATTATTCCCTGCTTATGATGTTGTGGAAGCGTCGATTGATCCGAACAGCTCTCACTCCCCACCATGGGCTGGATGCGGCGATTCCGCTGCTAAGACAACGGCTGTCTTCCAAAGCGCAGCTTCAGAAACGTATTGAAACACAGTTGCGATATATGTAACGAGTAAACCTTGGGGAGAACGATCCGTTCGTCCCGAGACCCGCCCAAAGTGGTGTCTCGCAGGCGTTGTAGTACGATATACGATCTCGGTTTCTGATCACGGGTGTCCCTGTATTGTGCAGCTGATGGCCTGCTGGTTAATTTGAGTTGATTTGATTTCACTGACTTGCCCGGTGTGTGTTTGTTTGCAGGCGTCGACCGGTTTGACTGCTGCAGCATAAACTTGAATACCGCGTGCGGGCTGTGTTTTTTGCATCGTTCTGACTCCAGTATTATATATTATAATATTATTCATTCTGATTAAACCTTTCCTCTTTGTTGTACCTTTAGCCTGTATTCCCGCTTTCCGTCTTACCGTTTCATGCTATCTATTTCCCTGGCTGCTTCGCTTGTGTATGCATTCTCGTCTAACTGCGTCGTCGTCGTCTCGTCCGTCTTCGTCTGGTGTTTGTGTAATCTAGGCAGGCAACAGCCTTGCATGCATGAGGTGCCACTGAATCTGTCCTCTATCTTCGTCGCTCCCCTTCCCTGTATTCACATGCAGCGGCTAGTGGGGCGCGGCAGCAGTAGAAGCGCGGCCCTTCGTCTCCACCAGCAAAACAAGAACACAAGCAGCCGGGGTTGTTGTTGCAAGTAGTACAAATAGACAAATATTAAACTCCACAAAACTATCATGGCTTCCTCCATGAAGCTAGAGGAGCTGCGAGAAGCTGCAAGGGCAGCAGGCCTTTCTGCGTCAGAAGAGAAATTTGTTTGCTTCGATTGGGGGGCAAGCCAAGAATGGCAGGAGTATCTCGCTAGCCTTTATCCGACACCCCCGCTCAATAAGCTGCTAAAGTGGAAGAAGAAATTTTACAAAGCCCATGAGGTCTGTTGCTGCTGCTGTCCTTGTTGCAGTTGCTGCTGACTCTGCATTCCTGGTTGTGCGTCTGCCCTTTGTCTTTATGGTACTTATGTGGATACGCGTGTCTTTCCTTTCTGGCTGGTTGACATCCCTAGGACTCTTCTTTTGACGTAAACAACACTGCAGTAGACGATGTGCTGAGTGGAACCAGCAGCTCTTGCCCTGCTCCCCGAAGCAATAGCAGCAGCAACAGCAGCAGCTACTGCAGCTACAGCACCGGGGGTGCCTCCTTCGGGCGGCCTATTGGATCTCCTCCTTCTGCTGCAGTGCTGCGGGTCTTGTCGCCCTTGACGTTCTTCTGTCTCCTGGCTGGAATGGCCAAAACTGCATTGGCTGCGGCAACTTCCCAAAGAGTAAGACACGGAGCGCCCAGTGCAGCACGAGCAGCTGCGGCAGCAAGGAGAGTGTGTAGAGATGCAGCAGCAAGAAGAGCATTAAGAGCGGCAGCAGAATTAACACGAGCATCGAGAGCAGCAGAAGCAGCAACAGCTTCAAGGGAAGGAGCAGCAGCAGAGGCAGCGTCAGCCACAGCATTGTCTGGAAGTCCTCCTACCCATCGTTTCCTTGCTGATTGTACAAGATGCGGCAGTCTGTTTATGCATTCGTATTTTGCGTCTTTTTTGGTTTTTCCTCTGCAGGGTCCCGGTGCTTCGCTGCTTCTGACGGGCAGTTTGTTGCTGCGTCTTTATTGCTGCTTTGGCCTGCCGCCTTTAAAGCTGTGGCCGCTTTCGCGGCTGGGGGAGTCCATGGCAAATGAAGGTTTTGTGTACTTTCAGGTCACTCACACACTGCATCAACAGCAGCCTTGAACCATAAACTCTTAAGAAAAAGGAATTGCGAGCAACGACACGCAGTGGCGCTTTGCCACACAATTCTACTGCAACCCTAAACACTAAACCGTTGCCCTAAGAATGTAGACCCTAGACACAAAAATTCATTTGCCCTAAACTCTAAAAGCCCTAGCCAGAAGCCGTAAACGGGTGCATGGCCGCGCACAGACTATGTCCATAGAGCAACAAATGCAGTTGGAGACTGGTTGATAGAACAGTTGCAGCAGACTAGTACAAGAGATGTTGGTCAATGTTGGTCAATGACAACCAGTGTAGAGATATCCAAGGCAAGTGAATGCTTATTAACCGCCGTCTTAATTTCGTTTAGCGTCGGCAGCCGCCGCGCTCTGTCTCGTGTCCTTCGGTGAAGGGCCCGTGATTCAGTTCTTTTTTGCGTATTTCCTTGTTGCTGCACGCCTTCTGCGTTTAGGGTTTATGGCTTAGGGTTTGCGCTATCGGTGTAGCTTTTGTGTTGACTTGTTTGAATGTAATTACATTACTCCGCAACTGCCTATTCCTGTGCACGATTGAGCGAGTGTGGGTACGGATGATGCATGCAAATGAAAAAGGGCAAACGCCGGCTGGCTTGATTTTGTTTGGTGTGCGTTCAACAGCAGATCAAGGCCTGCTGCCAGGCCCTTACGCATGCATGTGCATATATACACACATGCAGGCGGAACAGAATACGTCTCTCTGACCTTTCCAGCTCTGTCTAGACTTCTCCATTTTGCTGTGTTCGTATTATGGCGTGTTCGTATTGTGGTGTGTTCTGCTGCATGCATGCACGCAGCAAGTGATGCAGAACGACGCCACGCATGCAGTGCTGTTCACTTTGCTGACGGGGCTTTTTCCTGCCTCGTTGCCTCTTGTCGCCTCGCCACTCTTGACTGGGTGTTTGGTGGCAGGACATATCTTAAGAGAAGGCGGCGCGTTTCCAGGGTTTATCACCAAGTAAGAGAGGGTTTAGCTCTTAGGTTTCAATAAGCAGCGAAGCGAATGTTGTTTATCGTCTGTGCGCATCTACGGATAGCCCGCTCATGGTGGTTGTGCAGCAGTTCTGTTGGGTTTTTCTTCCAAATTGGATCAGCAGACGGTGTCTTAAACAAGAAACGTCTACGTACATATATATATTATATATATGTACACATATGTATGCATGTGTATAATTTACTGTGTCACATTGCAGTTTGGGCCTTATCCGACGTTTTGCGACGCTTATGGATCAAAGGGTGAGAGGAGATAAATGGAAGGCGCAAAAAAATCCTTAAACCCTAAGCCCTTTAGTCTAAAAAAAGCCCCTAAAACAGAGCTATAGTACACGAGCGCAGATGCGCCCAGAATGCAGATCATCCTATAGACTGTATCTTTTGCGAAGTACTGCGAGTATTCAAAAGGAGTATTTGGTAGTGGAAACCACCGCGAATATATTTCGCGTTGGATTTAAATAGAATCTCATTTCGAGTTAACGAGGAGTTGTAAGTAGGGCAAGGTAACGGACAAATCTGCTTCTATGCTGTGTTTTTGTTCGTCTGGATGTACGCATGCTGCGGCGTTTATTCTTGTGTTTGTGTTTTTCCTTGTTCTTGTTTGTTTTCAGCGCTTTCAAATTCTGCAGCTGCGGGCCGACTTGGAGGTGTACTTTGGGGTATTCTTTGTCGTCTGGTCTGTCATCAGGATGGACTTCTCGCTTACAGACGTTTTGCTGCCTGCCTATCTTTATTGGCAATTACAGAAAATAAGGTATTTCCCCGTACATGTGCAGAGGACGGCTAAACTGCATCGACAGAAACACACCATTTCAACACCATCGCTCATCTACGCACATTTAAGTGATTCCATGAAAGCTGCAGTGCTCTCCCTAGTTTCACCGTCGTAGTTGGCGTATCCTTGCACTACTTAAGTATGAAATATATATATATATATATATATATAT